CAAACACAACACAACACGACTGAGAGACAACAAACTCACTTAATTCTTCTTAGTAGTATTACTCACTCACAGTCTCTGTCAGCGACACCACTCACCACCAACGAAACGACTTCACTCTGGTCGTGATCAACCTCAAAAATGTCGCCAACGGGTCCCGCCGGAGAACCCACCCTCGGAGGCTCCTGTGCCCGCGCGGTGGTGGTGGGGGTGAAGATGGACTCCCCCAGCAAGGAATTGCTCACGTGGGCTTTGGTCAAAGTTGCTCACCCTGGTGACACCGTTGTTGCTCTGCATGTTCTTGGGAACCATGGTACCCGGGAATTTTAGCTCTCTCTTTTTTTTTTTTTACTTTCGGTTGTGGTTTTTTAATGTGGATATTAACTGGTGAAATGGTGTTACGTAGAAACTGTGAATGGAGACGATAAATCGTCGCTGCTTTCGCTTGTCAAGGCGTTTGACTCTGTTCTTACCGTTTACGAAGGATTCTGCAATTTGAAACAGGTTAAATTTCTCGATTTTCTTTCTTTGTGGGCCCTTTTCAATCTCTATAAACGGAATATGCAGATTAATTTGCTGTCTTCAAATTGGGTAGGAAATGCAGGACATAAAGAGTATAATTTCTGAGTGGAAAACGAAAACGTAATTTGAAGTTGTGGAAGTGTCTTCTTCTTTGAAACATTGAATTTTATGGTTTTTTCTTTTTTCTTTATTTCGTTAGATCGACCTCAAACTCAAAATTTGCCGTGGTTCTTCAGTGAAGAAAATTTTGGTTCGAGAAGCAAATGGTTATTCGGCTTCTTATGTTGTCGTTGGAACTACTCATGGTCGGCATAGAATCCGGTCATCTACCTTTGTTGCTAAATACTGTGCTAAAAGGTTGTCCAAGGATTGTTGTGTTCTCGCTGTTAACAATGGGAAAGTTGTGTTCAAGCGTGACAGCTCGCCGCCGAGTGTTGCTGACTTACAAGGTTTCATATTGTTCTTAGTTTTGATTGTTGGGAATCTCATGGACGAAGTGGAATTCTCAGTCTTAAGTTTGTTTTGCAGGGATTGATCGTCAACACAGAAATGGTTTGATCGGTTCGATTCACTGGACACTCAGTAAGAACACAAAAGTTCTAAGTGATGACAATTCAGGGACGGATGCTGATGGGAAGAAACCTGGCCATATTTCGGATCACAGTTTGGCTAAGTTTTTTCTGGATTCTACAGAAACTGTTAGAAAACCAAGCTGTTCAATTTGTGGCACAACCCTGGCATTGCCAGACCCTTCTTGCTACCAATCTGCAGAAGGGTTTTCTGGTGATGATGGTAAAGAAAATTCATTGGCTATAGTACCTGTGCAACCCACTGTTGCGGAGAAAATGGAATTGAAACCTGGTTGGCCACTACTACAACGTGGAATTTTATCGGAGACACAATCTGCTGATAGATCATTGATGCACCCCCAGATATCCGTGGTCCAGTGGGCAATGAGGTTACCTTGTAGAAATATTTCAAATGCTGCCGATCGTGATGAAAAGTCTGAAATTTGTGATCAAGGTCCAAATCAACCTGCGGCTTTAGATAGGGAAAGCGGTGCTCTAGTTCCAGTAGATTCTGAAATAGGGATAGCTTCTTCGCCAGAAGGCAATTCAAGAAACATTCCTAAACAATTGCAGGGCCTGCATGAGAAGTACTCGTCAACTTGCAGATTGTTTGAGTACCAAGAACTTGTATCTGCCACATCAAATTTCTTAGCGGGTTTGTTTCCTAGTTAGTTTGACTTAGTTCAATTTAACAAACCGGATTGTTTTTCTTTAATTTTAATGTGGTTACCAATGTGATTTCAGAAAACTTTATTGGGAAAGGAGGAAGCAGTCAGGTTTATAGAGGCTGCCTTCCAGATGGCAAGGAACTTGCCGTCAAGATTCTAAAGCCATCTGAAGATGTATTGAAGGAATTTATTCTGGAAATAGAAATCATCACTACCTTGCATCACAAAAACATAATTTCCCTCCTGGGATTCTGCTTTGAGAATGGCAAATTTCTTCTGGTTTATGATCTCTTATCAAGAGGAAGCCTTGAAGAGAACCTTCACGGTACACAAATATGCATTTGTTATATCCCCTTTTTTATGTGGCGTGTTATTGACTTCCTTCTATGTCATGCCAAAATAGGTAATAAGAAAAATTCACATGAGTTTGGTTGGTCCGAAAGATATAAGGTAGCAGTGGGTGTTGCTGAGGCTTTAGATTATCTGCATTCTAAAGATGATCAACCTGTGATCCATCGGGATGTAAAGTCATCAAATGTATTATTATCTGAGGATTTTGAGCCCCAGGTATATATCTTTAGATAACTTTTTAATTTAACGTAATTTGTATTTATTGATGCTCATGATCTGCTTGATTTCTTCAGCTCTCTGATTTTGGACTGGCAAAATGGGCATCGACCTCATCATCACATATAACCTGCACAGATGTTTCTGGAACCTTCGGGTTTGTAGATTAAAATCCTGCATAATCATACTATCCCATCCCTCTTATGAACACATGCTTCGCAGAGAAAATGTATTTGAAATGGTCCTAAATTATGTATTGTACTCATTATGCAGTTACTTGGCTCCTGAATACTTCATGTACGGCAAAGTCAATGATAAGATTGATGTCTATGCATTTGGTGTCGTGCTCCTTGAGCTTCTTTCAGGGAGAAAGCCCATAAACCGTGATTATCCAAAAGGCCAAGAGAGTCTAGTCATGTGGGTATGTTTCTGTAGTCGTATGCTTTGGCATCTCCTCATTTACTTCTTATTTCCTAATCATATGCATCAGTGAAAAATATAACAGAAACGCAATTTGGCAGGCATGTCCAATTCTTAATAGTGGAAAGGTGTTACAATTGTTAGATCCTGGTTTGGGTGATAATTATGATCATGAGGAGATGGAAAAGATGGTCTTGGCAGCTACTCTCTGTATCAAACGTGCTCCAAGGGCTAGGCCTCAAATGAACATTGTAAGTGGTCCACTTTTGACTTTATTGCTTATTGTCGGTTCTATGTCATATTATATATAATAATAATGGAGAGTAATTTCCAGGACAATGACCTGAATTTTTGCATTTTGCTTATCCTAAATCAAGTGGTACCTATCTTCATAGTGCACGCCTTAACTTTATCTTCTTGTTTGATCACCGTAGTAATATTCGGTGCATTAGTCCTTTGTTGAAAATCTCATGTATTCATTATATTGGACCACAGATATCAAAGCTCCTGCAAGGTGACATCGAAACAATCAAGTGGGCAAGGTTAGAAGTTAATAATACTTTGGATGCAGCAGAAACGCTTGACGATGAAGCGTGTCCACCTAGTAATCTACAGTCACATATAAATCTTGCACTGCAGGATGTGGTGGATGACACACACTCCATGTGCAGTGTTGAGCAAGGTTTGACATTGGAGGACTACTTGAGAGGCCGGTGCAGCCGTGCATCAAGCTTTGACTGAGCCAACTACTAGCAAAATGCTAGACGAAGCTCTATCCTTCTCTTTTTTATTTTTTTATCTTGATCTTTTTGTAGATGAAGTCTTCCTTTGCCTGTTAACATTGGCATCTTCTTTGGTTTTTAAGTGGATTTAGGATGAGAGGTTGTTTGTGTGTGCCCTCCTCCTTTTCTTAATGTCGAGGAAACTAGGCCTTGTAAGTTGTTAGGCGAGTTCCCCTTGTTAATGGTTCTTCCCATGATCTCAATTTGATCAAGTTTTGTAATATATATTTGTAACGAGATGAAGAAGTTGTATTTTAGAGCGTAAGGATCACATAGCTCTGCATCCAATCCAAATAAGGGTGTAGCTACTTCATCCCTCGTTTTCTTCATTTACTCAAAACTATGCTTTTGTTTTGAGAATTGTATCTACACAACACAAAACCCCATATGTCTCCTTACCCTACACGCAGCTTTGGGATTGTGACCTAATCTTTCAACAATGGATTAACAACGGAATATACCATTGCTTTATTCCCAACAGATTAAAGCACTTCTTTATTGCCTCCCTTCCTAAATTGTTAATATTAAATGTATTATAGAATATTTAATATGTGTAATGTTATTTATTAGTTCATATAACCGCACTATAAAATGTGACAGCTTGCCCATTTAAAGAGGGGCATTTATAATAGAAAACTAATGAAACTTGCAAATAGTATGTCATTAAAAAGTTAGAGAATAAAACTAATAGACTAGAACATATAAGAATTTAGGAATGGAGAGAATGCTTATCAGAATAAGTTTTATTTTCAAATTTAATCACGCTTAAATGTCACTTTTCTTCTTAAAAAAGTGTTGAGAGGGTGTTTACAAAAACTATTTGAGATTATAAAAATGATTTTCTATTTTTAATTTATTTCAGTCAAGTACTCTCATTTTTTTTGTCAAGAGACAGTCAATTGCTAAGATTGTCTAATTATACACATTTTAGATAAGATTATTTGACTCTGAAAATTATAGCGTGGTTAAAAATAAAAAGTCACCAAACTTGTTTTATCTTTTAAAAAAAAAGCTCAAACGATTTGTTCCCTTGCAACATCTATCAGAATCCGTGAACCGAGTTTAGATATATTTTAAGACTTTATGAATATGGAGTAAAAAGTTTAATAATTTGTTTATGCAACATAGAATTTTTTTTACAAAATTGAATAATTTTGAAAAGTTAAAAACAAAAAAAATTAGAATATCAAAAACAAATTTGAACGAGTTGAATTTTCGTGTTTAAAATAAGCTACTTTGTTCTTTTTATCTGTCTACTTTTTTTTTTAAATCCTATAATTTTTCTATTTTCAACTCATCTATTATATCCATGTAATAAATGAGAAACTTTGTTTCTTCGCAGACCACAAAAAATTCCCTCCAGTTCTATGTGAGAAATCTTATCCGCAGTAGAAGGTCGAAAGCTACTGGGAAACTAATATAAAGGCAACCACCACGAATTAAACCTTAGCAACGACACAACACAACTTTGAGTCATGGCCACAAGTTGCTCCTACATGGTTTCCACCAAATTATCCATGTTGGGTTGGAGTGGAGGAAGAAGAGAAGTCAGAAAGCGGAGAACGTTTTTGGTCTCCGCCCAACAACAAAGCGATGTTCAGGAAGCAGAGGGCGAGAAGGTGGAAGAGCAAGAACGAGTGCAAAGTGAGAAACCGAAGCCAAAAGGAACCATTCCAAGGCCAGTGGAACCTCAGACAAATGTGAAGAGCAAAAACATGTTAAGAGAATATGGAGGGCAGTGGTTGAGCAGCACCACTCGCCATGTCAGGATCTTTGCAGCTTATATCGATCCTGTAACTTGTGAGTTTGATCAAACCCAGATGGATAAGCTCACCCTTATCCTTGATCCTACTGATGAGTTTGTTTGGAACCCTGACACCTGCAACATGGTCTATTCTTACTTCCAGGAACTTGTTGATCACTACGAGGTACTTTCCTTAAACACAAAAAAATTTCGTTTGTGTGTGTCTTAGGTTAGTGTTACCTACAAAAAAGGTCTGCGATTTTCTCCACAATTTTTGAAAATATATAAAATAAAATTGATGTATGCCAGCTTGTTGTGGTTGAGGTCTAATTGGTAATCCAACAAATATGGCAAGGAAGAGGGTTTTAGATTTTAGATTTTAGATATGTGCTCAAGTTAGATGTGTGTGTTGAAATACTAACCTGTGATTATACCAAGCAGGGTGCTCCATTGAATGATTACACCCTTCGTCTGATTGGTTCGGACATAGAGCACTACATAAGAAAGATGTTATACGATGGGGTAATCAAGTATAACATGAACGCAAGGGTTCTCAATTTCAGCATGGGCAAGCCACGGATCATGTTCAACAATGATACCAAACCTGAAGATGCAGTTGAGAAATGATTTGTGAAATACACCAAGAAAAGTGAGTAATAATTGGTGGTTTGCATGTGATTGTTCTGTAAATTATACAAAAACTCTAATCCATTCCAACATTAGATATTTTTGGAGTTGAGTAAAACTAGTGCAAACCAAAATATAGCTACAGATACAGAGTATTCTTACAGTCTGTAATAGAGCTTCTGTTCCTCTTTATGTTACTAAACCAGTATAATCACTCAACCCCTGCTACACATGGATGTTATCTTAAAAATTTAGTCTTTCTTTCATATACTGGACACTAATAAGTTTCATCACAGTGGATACATAATTAGATTTCAGAAGTATATTAACAGGTTTGATTATCTTGTTTGTGCATATGAAAAAACTTTAATTCATTTCAATAATTTTTATGTTTTCGAAAGATTAACATCACCCCGCTTTTCTTGCTTCTGGTTCTAACTCGATGCTTTCCATGTACGAGCTACACTATCACATACTATACCGACAAACTTTGAGGAAAGTGAAAATTGAAAAGTGGGGTAGAGGGGCCCGTAACTTTAATCGTCACTAGTTTTCAGCATTGAAATTCTTTCTTGCTTCGACACTTTTTCAAGTTTAATGACACTTTTCATTTTAGAAAAGGATAAGCAAAGACGATGATGTTAAAATCACAGAATCTTTGCTCTTTTTTAGTGAGTCTGCTTCACAAAAGTGAAGCTGCAAGAACCCACCGAACCACCTCGTAAATCATAACCAAACTAATTTTTACGACAATCCATTCAATATAAGACTTTTTGAAACGAAGATTTCAAATACTTATCTTAAAAACACGTAGAGTTCGTCAAAACTCACAGTTATTGTGAAAAATAAAATATAATTATTAATTAGAAAATTAGAAAATTATAAAATTAGAAGTACTTATTGAGAATCCATTTTTAATTACATATATAATTAATCACGTATTTAATAAAATTATTGTTTTTAATAAAAATAAAAACATTTTATTATTAATTCAAAAGGTATTATATATGGAAAAAGAAAATTAATTATATAGCATTAGTATTATTTTGATATTAAATTATTAATAATAATAACAATAAAATAGTAAGTATTTTAGTTTGAGTTGAAATAATTTTAATAAACTATTATAAATTTAATATTTATATTTTATCATTGTTAATAAATTTATGAATTTAGTAATAATAATGATAAGGAAAAGAAAATTAATTATATAAAATCGAACATTTACAATATATTTATATAATGGTTCATACATTTTACTAATAAATCTTAATTAATATTAACAATAATAAATGACAAAAAAATTATATTAATAATAATGAAAATGATAATTTATTAATTTAAAAATGCCATTAAATTTTTTATTAAATTTAAATTTAAATTAATATTTTATATTGAAATATATTTATTATTGATATTAATATTGACATAAATTTAATATTTTATATTGACATTAATTATTGATATTAATAAATGATTTATATCGGCCATTATTATTTAATACTAGTAATAATTAATTTAAAAATTCCCCAATTAATGAAAATTATTTTATATTGACATGCTGCACAAGTACACCACCATTACGTAAAAGAAGCTTTTACTTTGTGTTAGGAGAAGGGCTGATTTAAAAAAAAAAAAAAAAAAAGGAAATAGAAAAGAAGCTTTATGGTAAAGTGTTAGACCAAAAAATCTGCTTTATGTCTAAAGTGGGGAGAAAAAAAAAGGAGTAAATAATTAGTAGGAATTGTTAAAAACAACAGAAAAAAAATTTGAGTGTGACAAAAAATTTAAAACAAATTTATTTTAGTCTAGTAATAAAATCAGACATTAATATATGAAATTTGATTCTGAGAACTACGCATTTTCTGCAATTTTAAATATTTAAATATTAAACATAAAAATATTCTCTCATTTCTATTATACATAAATTTTAGTTATCTATAACTGATAACTACTAATTACACTTTTACTGTGTACCTGTTACTCGGAAAAGTTGATAATGTTACCAACAGTAAGAGAAAAAAGTGGTGCGATCAGGTGACGTAGAGTGTGGGTCCCAGTAACAAACTGACCGGGACCCGTGGCTTCCGTTTAGAACTGAAGTTGACAATGTTGGATCGCAGACTCAGATCCACATACTTATACCGGCACCGCCGGTCCACCAGCAAATCCAAATAATTAAATTAAATTAATGTATAAAAGAAAATCCTAGAAATATAAAACAATAGAATTTGAATTTATTTTCATGTTTGTCCTGTTCTTCTGTCTCCACATACCACCTTCCACTGCCACTCTGTTCTCCTTCTCCACCCATGGCTTCCTCCCTCGGCGACAACCTCAACCTTCTCTCGCCTCAACAGGTTCGGCTCCTCTCTCTTTCTTCGTTTTCATATTTGAGCGCACGCTTCTGAATTTTGATTCGGTGTCTCGCCCAGCAAGAGTTGGTGAAGATGCTATTGGAGAACGGCCAAGACCACCTGTTTCGAGATTGGCCTCCTCCCGGAGTCGATGACGACCACAAGAAAGCGTTTTTCGACCAGGTTTCGTTTCTTTAATTACATAGATCTGCTACTTCCTTCGTTCATTCTCTCCCTAAACGACGGTGCGTTTTCATTAGCTGATTCTACTCAATTCGAGTTACCCTGGCGGTTTGGAATCATACATCAAAAACGCTAAACAGCTTTTGGCTGATTCTAAGGCTGGCAAAAACCCCTTCCATGGCTTCACTCCTTCCGTAAGCCTTAACAAACCTGGTTTTTATATGCTTTTGCTTTCAAAATTGCACTTTTCAAGTGTACTTTATTATACTGTAATAACATTTGAATTCTCGGTTCAACAATGGAACAATGCGTGACACTGTTTGGCGGTGATGATGAAGGTTCCAACCGGTGAGACATTGACATTTGGTGATGAGAATTACATCAACTTTGAGGAAACAGGTGTACATGAAGCTCGGAAAGCGGCATTTGTTCTTGTTGCTGGTGGTCTTGGTGAGCGTTTAGGATACAGTGGGATTAAGGTATGCCTTGTCACCCTGTGTCATCGCTGTTTTTGTTGATATGCTAATGTGTGTGATGCGAAAATAAACGCGGCTTAGAGGAATGTTTATTCTGGTTATTTTTATCTAATAGAGTAATCTTCTGTACCCTCCCCCCAAAACAATGTATTTTAAGAAATTTGAGTTTGTATTAAAAAAAAACAGTAACTTTTTTTTTTATATATATAGATTAATTCCTAATTCTTAAATTTTAATCGTAGCTTCTGCCTCTTGCAGCTTGCTCTTCCCGCAGAAACCACTACTGGAACATGTTTCATACAGCATTACATTGAATCTATATTGGCTCTTCAAGAAGCCAGATCACAAGGTTAGCATCAGTTACTTACGTGGTAAAGCAAAAAGAAATATTTATAGAATTGTGCATATAAATATTTAAATACAGAAATTGATAACTTACTTAAATTATACCTAATTCAGATGACCCAGAGTCCATTTGTTTAGATGGAAGCTCACTTTTGTGCATAAAATTATAGAAAATGACTTGGTTTTCAAAAAATTCCCAGTAGAAAACAGCTTCCTCCTAGAAAACATTTTCTGCTGTTGCATTTTGTGGTAAATTACTTAAGAATTTCTTTTTCTTCAGCTTCTCTTACAAACAATGGCTCACTTGTTGTAGTTGTCAATGTAACTAACATATTTCAAAGTCCTTTGGGATAATGTTTGTGCTTTTCAACTTCTAGGTGAATCCAAAGCACAGATTCCTCTTGTTATTATGACATCTGATGACACTCATGGACGTACTTTAGAGCTACTAGAATCAAATTCTTATTTTGGTATGCAACCCTCACAAGTAGCACTTTTAAAGCAGGTATGTCTTTTGATGTCTCTTTGGAAAATTCAATTTGGATAAACTCTACATTTTGTTCATTGCATATAAAATTGTTTACAAATTAATCCCTATCATGAAAATTATATAAATTTTTTTTCCTATACAGGGGCTAAATCTAATATTATTATAACTTTGACAAACTTCATGGATCAATTTGTTAATGTTTTTTCATGTTGGAACGAAAATTAATATATTTTTCATTTAGGAACTAAATTGAAAAATTGTTTGAGGCAGGGACCAAAATTTTATTTTAATCCTTTTTTAATTGATTCTTAACATTGTAAATCAGGAAAAAGTTGCATGTTTAGAAGATAATGATGCCAGACTTGCATTGGAACCACAAAACAAGTACAAAATTCAGGTAGTGATGTGCGGGGTACTGGTACGATTGTGACTGGGAAGTTTATTTAGCAAAAAGCAATGAATGAAATGCATTATGTTAACCTCATAATTATATTTTCAAACTAAGAACAATATATTGACCATTTCTCTTTGGGTAGACAAAACCTCATGGGCATGGTGATGTGCATTCACTTCTTTATTCAAGCGGGATTCTGAAAGTATGGTATGACTCAAACAGTTCACTTATCTTTTAGGATCAGTTTGTGCTGTCAATTTCATTTTTCTGTGTTGTATTAATTTGAAAATATTTTCAATGCATGTTTCTAAGTAATTTAAGTAATAGACTAGGTATATCCACACCAAAAAATTATTAAATAAAACTGTAAATATTGATTTTCTATTCTGTAAATTGATGGGATTGTATTCTAGAAATTCGAGAACTTGGAAGGGCAAAGGGTATACTTCAAACATAAATTTATATATTTATAACTTAATATAATGACTTTCATTTGTTAGGTATGATGCTGGGTTGAAATGGGTTCTATTTTTTCAAGATACAAATGGACTTCTCTTCAAGGTTAGTTATTTCGGCATTTCATACTTTCAGAGTTTAGATTCAAATGCACCTATATGGTTTGTCTATCAATATACTTCAAATATTCATTGCCTAGTAATTTGAGGATACAGGCAATTCCAGCAGCACTGGGAGTCAGTGCTTCCAAACAGTACCATGTTAACTCTCTTGCAGTACCTAGGAAAGCAAAAGAAGCTATTGGTGGAATCACCAAACTCACTCACTCTGATGGTAAGCTAATTGTTTCGTTCCTCACAAACAAAGAAAATAGTGTTGATTCTGGACTTAATATTATTTATGTGGGTGAGAACAATACGATCTCTTTTTGTGCAAGTTAGAGTGGAATATAACTTCTCTCTTACATGTAAAGTAATTTGAAACTGTAAATTTCATGGATATATTACTATTTATCATAATTAATTGGGGTTGGGAAGGTGGTAGACAATGATAGTTGGTGGAAGAAAGATGGTTTATATGATTGAACTTGATATTGATGTAGGGTTGGTCACGTAAGCCACTTGCATTTTTTGTGACTAATAAAATAATTGTGAATACAAAGATGATTATTTAATATTGGTATTAGTATCAACTTTGATATCACAGGTATTCATAATGCTGAAACAATTTAATGTTGATCTTCCAAGTGTTCACTTGAACTGATACAATCACACTGTTGATGTGTAAATTTGTAAAAACTAAATGTTCTTAACATTTTTTTTTCATTTCTCTCATTCTCTGTGTGCCACTTGTTTTTCTTTCTCACAAGGATTGAAAATGTTATCAAATTCAATTCAATGGTTATCGGAAGAGATCCTTTTATCGAGAAAAAAATATTTGAAGTGAGTTCAAAGTTTGAAATCCAGAACAATAGTCTGCACCTAAAGTAATATGTTTCCATGTATTTTTACTATATAACCAGACTTTTAAAAAGTGGTATTTCTTATACTTTTTTATGCTTGATAGTTTTATTCAAATATATTAGTATTATATAAATAATGTATCTCTATCTTGACTTCCTTATGTCAGTGCCACTTTTTATGAATTTCCCTGATTTTGTATTTAGCATTTTTTGATTATTAGTTTGAATACATTATCAGGGAGGTCTATGGTGATAAATGTTGAATACAATCAGCTAGATCCTCTTCTCAGAGCGAGTGGATACCCTGAAGGTGATGTAAATTGTGAGACTGGCTACTCCCCATTTCCTGGAAATATTAACCAAGTAACCCTCTTTTTCATACTTCAACATTCTTTTCCTCCCCCAACCCCTCATTCTCATGGAATTTACCTTTTTGATTTTGTATTGTTGAGACAATTATTATTCTTATGTGCATTGCTCTCAAACACTGAATGACTGTGATAACCTTGGTTTAGTTATAATTGGATTATTTTAATTGTCTTTATTTAGCTGAACCATGCCATGATTATACACAATTTCATAGTGGCAATATCTTATTTTAACAGTTGATTTTAGAGCTTGGTCCTTACATGGAAGAGCTCTCAAAAACAGGAGGTGCCATACAGGAGTTTGTTAACCCAAAGTAATTCTTCTTTCTTATATTCACTATTCTATTTATTTGGGAAAAGTTCTAAAAGCATTCCCTAATTTCGACCATGTGTGCTTTGGTCTTGTTACATTCAAAATGTTAAAAATGTATGTAAGCTTTTTTAGTTGTGCACTTCAATTCTATCACAACCGTTAATAAAAGGGATGGAAAAGTACATATGTCAGCTATCTGATTTTTTTTAGGGCCATTTTTAAACAGTTGTTGTGGAATTGGAGTGAAAGTAGACAACTTGAAAAAGTTTTGTTTGAGGATCATTTTGCTCATTTTGAAAGTAATGCGGCAAAGTGCATATGGCTCAATATACCTTTTTTGGTTGTAACACTTAGCTGAAGCATGTTTCAATTTTCTTTGATTGCATTGTATGCTTTTGTTGCATCAGACTTTGCTTTACCATCTTTTTTTCATGCCTTTTCTTTTTCCATATGCATCAATATTATCTTGAAAAGTTTAACTTATTTTATATGTTGGAGTAGAATAGCAGTTCTTTATTGGTAATTTTGTGAATAATTTACAAAATATGTTTTGGCTTAATTTTCTGCCCACTGTACATTTTAGTTGTTAGATATTGTTAACCACAATAACAAACAATATCTTCTATTTACTCTATTTATTTTCAGTTACTCTTTTTAGTTATACCTCTCTCTATTATAAATAGATGACCCTATGTGTGGTTTATACACAAGGGAGATTAATCTCAAACCATATTTCTTCTATATTTAATATGGTATCTAGAATTTAAGGTTATTTTGAAATTTTTTCGCCTTTGTCCATTGTTGGAGCCGCTACCGCCGCCGCTGATCTTCCACATTAGAAAAGAGTTATCTTTGTTACTGGATATTATTTGGTAGTGTGAAAGTGCATCTCTAGGAAGGTTCTAACAAGGAAAAACTTGGTATTTAAGCATGTTCATTAGTGACCCACCTCTCTTTCCTGGCAACTTACCTGGTGTACTGGTTCTCACCGCTGTCACAGCCTCTGCCGTCGTCGGAGCCGTTGTCGGAGCCGTTGTCGGAGTCGTTGTCAGAGTTGTCGGAGCAGTCGTCGGAGTCATCGTCAGAGCAGTCGTCGGAGTTTTATTTTTGACCGGTGACATACGGTTTTGTTCGTCTCAGTCAGGTGACCACCGTGCTGTTGAGATCACCACTATCGGAGTTAGTTGTCTGTTATCTCCTGTGCCGTTTAGTCTCGACATACTTGTTTTGGTCTTCTCGTTTTGGATATGTGCTTCGTGGGTTGATTAGATTACTTTAGATTTTTTAGGGTTTAATATTCACCTCTGTCTCCATCCAATCCTGTCAACACTCTTAATACATTTAATGTTCCTGTTGTTTGTAACCCTCTATGTCTTCTTCACCACTAGTTCCTACTCCGCAGTCAGCTTCTTCTCCACCACCTCTTCAGGTTTATAGTCGCCGAAACCAATCATAACCACCACCATGTGACTCCACTCAAGTGTCAACTACTCTGTCTCCTCCGGATCTGACACCTGAGTCTAGCCTTCCCATTGCCCTCTGAAAAGGTATCCGTTTTACACGTAATCCCTCTTCCCATTATATTGCTTTGAGTTATCATTGACTGTCATTACCTTTTTATACATGTTTTTCCTTTATTTCTTCTGTGACCATTCCAAAAACTGTCCGTGAAGCTTTAGCCCATCTTGGTTGGCGTCAGACCATGACAAATGAACTAAGTGCTCTTCATAATAATGGAACTTGGGAATTGGTCTCGTTACTGTCTGGGAAATCTGTTGTTGGTTGCAGTTGGGTGTTTGTTATTAAAGTTGGACCTGATAGTACTATTGATTGCCTCAAAGCTCGCCTTGTGGCCAAATGTTATACTCAAATTTTTGGGTTGGATTATGGAGATACCTTTTCCCCGTGGCAAAAATGGTTTCTGTTCGTTTATTTATTGTCATGGCTGCTCTTCAACAATGACCTCTTTATCAACTGGATATTAAAAATGTTTTCCTCAATGGGGATTTACAAGAAGAAATCTATATGGAGCAACCTCCTAGGTTTGTTGCTCAGGGGGAGTCTTCTGGAATGGTATGTCGTCTTCGTAAATCCCTATATGGTCTAAAATAGTCTCCTAGGGCCTGCTTTGCAAAGTTTAGCAAGGTTGTTCAACAATTTGGTATGACTCCGTGTGAAGCAGATCATTCTGTCTTTTATCGACACTCGAGTGCTGGATGTGTTTACTTGATAGTATATGTTGATGACATCATTCTTATATGTTGATGACATCTCTCAGTTGAAACAACATCGCTGTCACCATTTTCAGACCAAATATCTTGGCAAACTCAGATATTTATTGGGTATTGAGGTGGCACAGTCCAATGATGGTATTGTTATATTTCAGAGGAAGTATGTTATAGATATTTTGGAGGAAATTGGGTTGATGAGTTCAAAGTCTGTTGATACACCCATGAATCCCAATACTATATTTGATCCTGAGCAGTATAGAAGGTTGGTTGGAAAATTGAATTATCTTACAGTTACTCGTCCTGACATTTTCTTTGCAGTCAGTGTGGTAAACCAATTTCTTAATTCCCCATGTGAAGATCATTGGAATGCAGTCATTCGTATCTTGAAGTATATTAAAGGATCTCCTGGAAAAGGATTGTTATATGGTTCTAATAATCATACAAGAGTTGTTTGCTACTCAGATGCTGATTGGGTAGGATCTCCTTCTGATAGAAGATCTATATCTGGATATTGTGTCTCCATTGGTGGTAACTTGATCTCGTAGAAAAGTAAGAAACAGAGTGTTGTGACAAGATCCAGTGCAGAAGCAGAATATAGAACTATGGCCTCAGCTGCCTGTGAACTTGTTTGGCTCAAACAATTGCTTAGAGAGTTACAATTTGGAGATGTCACTCAAACGACACTTGTGTGTAACAATCAGACTGTTCTTCATATTAGCTCTAATCCTGTCTTTCATGAGAGGACCAAATATATTGAGATTGACTGTCATTTCATTCGAGAAAAGATTATGTGTGAAGACATCAAGACTGAGTTTGTTAACTCAAGTGATCAGTTAGCAAATATTTTTACTAAGTCTTTACGGGGGCCTAGAATTGATTATATTTGTAACAAGCTTGGCTCATACGATTTGTATGCTTCAATTTGAAGGGGAGTGTTAGATATTATTAACCACAATATCTTCTATTTACTCTATTTATTTTTAGTTACTCTTTTTAGTTGTACCTCTCTCAATTATAAATAGATTATCCTATGTGTGGTTTATACATAAGGGAGATTAATCTCAAACCTTATTTCCTCTATATTCAACATTAGTAAAAGAAAAGAGCATGGTTTTTTACCATAGCAAAAAGAAAAGGTTTTTTTGCCAATAAACTTCCCTTGATTGATTTCACCGAATTCAGCCAATTGTCTTGATTGTGGAACATAATTGAGAAATAGGAATTTGTATTATCAAAATATTTCTTGCAATTCGTTCTAATAGAGAATGAGCCAATAAACCAGTATTTAGTATATTGATATTGAATGGGACATTGTTATAAATAAGTAACATTACTTTTTGTCATAATTGTATTCCTAGGAACCACTGTTAAGGAACTTTTGGGACATGTCTTCTTACTGTTATATCGTGATATCATCGTGCTATATTTTCGAACTGCAGGTATAAAGATGCCAGCAAAACGTCATTTAAGTCTTCAACTCGACTTGAATGTATGATGCAAGACTATCCAAAAACATTGCCCCCATCCGCCAGGGTTGGATTCACGGTAAATTATCTGTTTGAGAACATTATATAAATCTTAGTAAATATTATCAAACTTGACTTTCCCATCCTTGGACTTAACCTATTAGGTTGTAGATGGAGTCCATCCATGCTGATGCACTTAGTTAATGAATTCTTGGTTGTTATACTTGGCTATCTTACTGATTATATGTAATTGTGTAGGTCATGGAAGCATGGCTTGCTTATGCACCTGTGAAGAATAATGCTGAAGATGCTGCTAAGGTACAAAATAAATTCTAATGTACTAGTTTACGCATGGAGAAACAAAGTTGATAAGAGAGAAACATGGAGGAAGAATGAGTTTTGAGCCCTTGATTCCTTAATGAAGTGTATGCAGTTCTTAATTAAAGTAGACTGCAAAGGTCTAACCATAAGTTTGTATGAAATTAAGAAATTTGGATTTGAAATGCTATTTTGATGGTGGAGATTTCGAATAATGTTATCTTAAATCAATAAAAGTTTTAAAAGAGGGGATATTTCTTATTTATTTTGTTAATTTTACTGAAGGTGCCAAAAGGAAATCCATACCATAGTGCAACCTCTGGAGAAATGGCCATCTATCGTGCAAACAGCATTATTCTTAGAAAGGTAGTGTAGTTATTTTACCCTCAAGTTTTGAATGCCATGACACATAGGTTATTTGTAATGTCTTAATTTTTTTATGATTCTATTGCAATTATAGACACTAGTTTTGAAAATATTGTCTTGTTATTTTAATTAATGTTGAGATATTTATTATAGAATTGAACTCCTTTTAGAACTCTATGGATCAGGAAAGTTCAATAAGATTGGTTAGTTGCCAATGAAGCTCTCATAGGTCTATAAAAGAGCCTGCTAGATACAATTTATGTTTTTGCTTACAAATGTTATTCCAACTTCAAGGATCTAACTTGTCCCCAGGTTGATTTTAGAATTCCTCTTACCTCATTTTGTGCTTTGTCTAACTTCTGAGATGCCAATTGTTAAAACAATAACCTACATCAGACAACTGAGTAGTTAACCCTGCATTTTCTCCTGTCAGGCCGGTGTTCAAGTAGCAGATCCAGTTGTGCAGGTCTTCAATGGCCAAGAAGTTGAAGTTTGGCCTCGTGTCACATGGAAACCAAAATGGGGTCTAACTTTTTCTCGGATCAAGAGCAAAGTCAGTGGAAATTGTTCCATTTCCCTAAGGTCTACACTGGCCATTAAAGGTCAACATATTTTTATTGAAAATCTGTCCTTAGATGGGGCTTTAATCATTGATGCTGTGGATGATGCAGAGGTATGGCAAAACAATTTATCAATATTTATTTTTTTAATTCGTGAGCTGCATTTTAACGGCTTGAGAGGACTGATGACCATTTGATATATTATGATAGATAGACATATTAGTAGAGTGTACACCTCCTCATACACTTAGTATTATCTACTATTCTTTTAATTATCCAAACTAGATATGTTTTTTGCTCATAGGTCTCCATACCAGGATTGGAGGAGAACTTTTGTTGAGTAGTCAAAACCAGTTTTAACCGTAGTTGATAACACAGATGTAGAAATGGGGTGTACTAACATGATTCAAACGATAAATCAGGGGAGATTTGGCTTCAATTTTCAACACTATAACATAGATTGAGAACTCAAATTACATAGCAATCCATAAAACTAGTTGAATCTAGCTTTTATTAATTAACACCAAACTAAATAGCCAAGTTTACCCAATTTAAATGTAAGACTTTAATAAAAAAAATTGACTCTCCTGAACACTGAATTCCCAATGTAAAAGTTCATACTCCAATAATTGCATAGTGTAGTGTTTCCTGTTCTTAATTTTATTACTATACTCCACCATTGTTTCTTTGAAAAGAATAATTGAAGTTTGAAATGAGCATGGTAGTGTTTGTTGAATATTTTAAATTGATCCTTGAATTTACTTTTTTTTAAACTAGGTAAACGTGAGTGGTTCAGTTCAAAATAATGGTTGGATCCTTGAAACTGTGGACTACAAAGATTCCACAGAGCCTGAGGTATTGAGAATCAGGGGTTTTAAATTTAACAAAACTGAGCAGCTGGAAGCGAAATACTCTGAGCCTGGCAAATTTCAGTTGAAGGCTTGAGCATGCATGCAACTGGCATAGAAGTTTTAGATTATTCTTTGTCTGCTGTATTTAGAGTTTCTCTCCCTTCTCCTCCCAGTCTCTGGTGCACTATTTTGTTCACAAAGTTTTGTCCCCTCTTCGACTAGGGGAAACTATTTTTGCATTCCTGGTTCAAGGTGTAAAGAATTTGAGTCCATTTGTATTGGCGTGGTAGAAATTTAAGCAGATTCATCATGTGTCCATATGAAAGACTGTTAGATAATGTGCCAATAAATTGTGTTTACCCATCCTGTTTACTGGATTTCAATCAATGCCTCCTTTTTTATATTTTTGTTGCATCCAAGGGGCAAAAAAATTCCAAGGACATTTAATACACATTTTCTTTTTATCTCTATTATACAAATTTGATTTTGTTAGTTATTTTAAACAAACATAAAATAGCTTCTATTTTCATAAAAATCTTAAAATAAAATCACTAGATAATTATATTAATAATTTTAATTGATTGCGAATTTTTAATTAATTAATTGTAATTTCTCATTTAAATAAACTATCGATTTTCAGAACCAACCAAATCCATAAAATAGTTATTAAATTTGTTTCGTGTAAGAGAGTATTATGATTTTATGTCCTTTATTAAGGTCAGTTTCGTAATTGATATATTGTTTGTTTTAGAGTTATCGTCTGTCATGGTTTTATTTTTAAAAAATGTTTTAGTGGGTTAAGAAAGGAAAGTGTATATAAATTATCATTGCTCTTGACTTTTAAGCGATATGAGATTCATAAGCATATCGGAACATAGTTCCTTAATCGAGTACTAAAGGATATAAGTGGAGCGATACTTTACTCTCGACTCCACGACGGGCACCAATGGTATGTGCATGAACGAAAATATATCAATTTTATGTCTTATGTGATAATATGTCTAGGATATTGTCTATTTTAAAGCTTTTATTCGTTACTATATTATCTTTAAAAGATATTATGATGAGTTAAGAAATGAGAGTGTAATAAACTACCTATCATATGGCTCTTAAACTATTCAAGAGTGAATAACGCACCAAAACTAAAAATGGAAATCTTAGAAAGTCTCATAAAAAATTAAGTTTGATTTAAATACCTAAGGAGAACAAATTATATACTAAATTGATCAAATAATGGTTATTTTGTAATGTGTGCTCTCTAAAATACTAAGGAATATCATTATCTCATCACAGAATTATGCGCAATATAAGCGATAAGTCTATATAAAGCTGAACACGCAAGAACAAGGGACTTACGGGTTTAAAATTTAATGATAGGTATATTTTATATGATAAAAAAAATTAAAGATAATGTTTTTATCTAAAAAAAAATTAGTATGTCAATTTTTTTCTAAATCTAAATAAAAATTCATCTTTCTAATTCTTATAATTTGAAAAAAGTTTGTTATAATGAATATTTTAATGAAAAAATAAATATGTTGTTTTGTATTAATAAAAATACAAAATTAAAATAAGTTAGCATGTAATTTTTTTTGTAATTATTCGTAATGCAAGTAATTTTTTTAAGGATAAAACCTAGGTACTCTGGATTCAATTGATGTTGTTCTATGATAAAATTTGAAATTTTATATTATGCATTTCATGTTCAAAAAAAGTGAAGTTGAGTTTTAGAATGTTTAGGAAAAAAAATCATAAATCCATTATCCAAGAAATAAAAATAATAAATAATAAAATAAATTTAAATTCAATTCATAATATTAAATATTTTCTATAATAATTAATTTTTATATACTGATCTTTTATTTAAAAATTCTTAATTCCTTGTTAAAAAAAATTATATATAACTAATATATTAAACATTCATTATACTAGGATAAAGAAAGGTCGATCAAATATGTAAAATACAAAGTCATTTAACTTTATGTTTTTGACCCAATAGGTTAAAATGCAAAACTTAGACCGGTAAATACTTCAATTAATTTGCATTTATCTATCTTTTCTTGGTATTGGTCTCTGCTCTATATGCTGTAACCCTTGACACGTGCTTCTTACGAAAAGACAAATCAGGGCAGGCACAACACGCGTTCTCAACGCGCATGATTATATTTTTTAAAATTTATAATTAAAAAATATTACACATAATAGAATATCCCGAATGCAACCTTTGGGAAATGCCGTTACAAGAAGTGATTTTAGAAAAGTCTACTGTACAAGACATTCAAAGAAAATAGTTGGAAGCTTCGCACAAATTGGCTTGGCGTAGACCATTCCCCTCCCTAATGTCATTCATCAAATTGGGAACCAATTTTCGACTCCAAAACCAATTATTCCCCCTACACAAAGGACATTCTTTTCAAAATCCAAATCCCAACATCCACCCATGATGTCCATATTATGTACTTCTCTATAAATATTCCCATTTTCATAGACTCTTAGGTTTAAGATTTATGTTGTTTTGGAATATGTGTCTCCTAACCCAATCTGACTTGAAGCGTATTTTTGAGCAAGTGGACGTGAATGGGGACGGGTTCCTGAGCCTTGAGGAGCTCAATCGCCTGCTTCAAATGACAGGTAATTCCCACTACACCATACAAGAGTTGGAATCGCTGGTGGAACAGAAGACCCTTGGTTTCACCGAGTTCTTGTTCTTTTACAAATCCATTTCGGAGCAGAAAAATGGAGAAAGCATAGGAGGTGGTGGTGGTGGTGGTGGTGACGCAGAGGAACTGGAGAACGACCTCGTGAAAACGTTCAAGGTGTTTGACTTGGATGGAGATGGGTTCATCACCAGCCAAGAGCTGGAGTCTGTGCTCAAGAGGCTTGGCATGTGGGACGAAACCAATGGCAAGGATTGCAGATCCATGATTCGATTCTATGACACCAACTTGGATGGTCGTCTTGATTTCCAGGAATTCAAGAACATGATGTTGCTTTCCAAAGCTTGATCATCATCATTCATTTCTGTGAAAGTTGTGCTCTCATTTTTACAGGATCATTATTCTGGCCTCGGCTTCACCATGAACCTATCTTTTATCTAGTCCTCGTCTCATGTGTGTATGTTGTATATATGAGTTTCGTGACTGTGTACGCTATTCATAAATGTCCTCTGCTCCATCTATGCAAGTATTGCTGTTTATATTACCTATTGCCCTTGCTTTGTCTTGAGGAAGGAAAAAGAAAATTTTTAAATTTAGATTTGAAAGAAAATAGATATAGAGAAAAATTCATTTGATTTTGAACTCAATTCAAATATTTTATTTTTGAAATGTGAATAAATGCTAGCAAAACCAACAGATACTTTTTTCGTGAACTATGCCCAAGAAAAAGTGTGTGATAAAATATTTTTATGTTCTTTTTGGTTTTCAGAATAGTTGATTTATAGGTTTCAAAATTTAATAGAGTTACGATGAACTATTTTAGAAAAATGATTTTAAAAACTAAAAGTGAAAAGCAAATTGAGTAATTTTTTGCACATATTTTCTCTTTCACCACATAAAAAATATACAATTATTGTGTCTTTTCTATTGTTTATTTTCTTTCTCCTGACATAAGTTCTAATGATACAACTTAATAAAGAGATAAACAAAAAGTTAGTTGAAACAGTTCTATATCGTTAAACTGCTCTAAAAGTACGAGGTTGGAGAATTTCATTTACACAATTGAAAGTATGTCATATACGACAACTATTTTTCTTAAAAATATTTTGTAACAACTAAATATATTAATATAATAACATTATTTATTATATTATTATTATTATTATTTGCAGTGGTTAATATCAACCTAAAAAAAATAAGAAAAATATTTTTCTCTGCGATATTCGTATGACTAAACTTTTTAGTCTTTAACATTGTAGTATTTTTTTTCTGGTGTTTATCTTTAAAGAAATAAAAAATATACCAAAGACGACTTATTATAAAATGATCTCACATATGGCAAAGTCTACCATCTTCTAGAGGCAAAATTTATAATTGCATTTAATTAGATATCAATGAAACCATAATTTCTTATATTAATTAACATTAAAGTCTAAGCTAGCCATAGACTTGTTAAAACAATAATATTGACATGCCAAAGCCTTTTATTAATCTATCACGAAAGATAACCCATAAAGGTTTTTGTTCTATTGAATTATCAAAATTACTTTTACAATATTTACTTTAAAAATGCATTTCTAGCATTTTTTATTAATTTACAGTACAAAATTACTATATTATTAATATATAAAATTATAGTTTACTAAATTATATTTATGCTGCATAAAATATGAAAATAAATTTATCTTGTTGTTTGAAATTTTGAGAACAGATTTGGACAAACACAGAAGAAGAAATATATATTCTCTTCATTGAGTTAAAAACTGTGAGGGAGAGAGTATTTTTTATCTAATGGTTAGAAATTATGAGTGCAATAAAATCCCCATGACTATGAATATCACCTTCATCTATAGGTCGGCCATGAGAGGTGAGTTTAGGAGAATTTTCATTCATTCTTTAGGTGACATTATTTACTTGCAAAACCATTCCATGAACATGTTCAATCAACTTTGTTTAATTCGTTGTATTTTCTTGAACCACTTGTTAAAATTTAAAGTCTACTATTCATTTTCTTCTATGATCATCTATCTGGTACCTTTAAAATGCCTCAAATTTTATAATCCATTCATTTTTTTCCATGGTTATCTTGTGGAATTAATAAATGCCTCGTGTGCCACTAAAGTCTATTATTTAGAAATTATTTGACTTATCATTAAAAAAAGTTCCACCATAAAATAAGTTAAATTTCTTATGCAAATTACAATATAGTCAAACACTTTTGAAAAGTATTGTTTATGCAGCAATAGAAACTTTCAAGAAATTTAAAAATATATGTATTAAAAAAGTATAGTAGAAAGAATCTATCCCAACATGATGAATAAACAAAAGAAAATTTATTTATTTTATTAATAAATATTAGTTGTTAATATTATAGTTTTTAACCACCAAGATCCAACCTTGACCTTGCGTGTGAATATTTTAACATGTTAAAGGTTGTTTAAAAAATATGAAATACTGTACGGTAACGGTACCTTTGACCATACTTGTCGCTGTATTTTGAAAGACCCCTGCATTCACCTTTTTCTTCTTTTTTTTTTTCACTGCTACGAAAATTCCCATGCCAATTCTTTCACATAATGTTTATTCATGAAAAATCTTCTATATATTTATAATTTTTATAATTTCTACATGCTGGACACTTTATATTTATATAAATTTTAATGTGTTTAAAGTTAAATAATTTACTAATGAAATTATATTAAAATTTTAAATTAAAAATAACATAATATTTTTTTATATGATTGTCTCTTATTTTATTTTGATAATTTAAAAATATTTAACATTGTTGTATAATATATATAATAAAGATTAAGAGAAGAGGAATAAATAATAGGATACTTGATGAAAAAGATAAAAAAATAAAATAAAATATAATTTATTGATTAAAAGTATAATAATATTATAATATATAAATAAATATTATCCTCCTTTTATTAAATTAATTTTTTAAGTTTAAATTAAATATTTTTTTACCATTTCTAATAAAAAAAAAATTAGAGACACGTTTAAGAATTAATGGAAAACGAAGACTCAGGTCAATTTGGCTTGTCGGCAACAAGCTCCTTCCTTTGTCACATGTTGTGACAACTTCGACCAAATTTGCAGAAAATCCTATATGATATAAGAAGAAAGAAAAAAAAAATTATATATATATATATATATATATATATATATATATATGTACTATTATTTTGTTTCTAATATTATTTATTACTGATTTTGTATAAATGTTAGTTCGTTAAAATAGTTTTTACATTTTAGTTTTTAAAAATTAAAAAATGTAATTACTTTTTTTGTTTTTTATTTTTTATAAATAATATTTACGTTTTTACTTTATATTATATTATCCACTTTCGTTATTATGAAATTATCTAAATTATTTTTAACTTTGATTTTACAATCAAGTTTCGTAATTAATCTTTAAAAATTATTTTAAAAAATAAAAAACAAAATTAAACCAAACAATTTTTTATTTATTTCTATCATTAAACATTACTTTAGGCTGAAAATAAAAATAAAAATAAAAATCAAATTCAAATTCAAGTAAAAGGCTTATATATTAAATATGAGACAAAATCTTACTTTGATTCGTTTTCCATGTAGCATAACTAAATTCAAAATATGTGCATTTGATAATAAGTTTATTAGTCGTGCTCAATTTCATTCTTCAATTTGTTTTTCTTTCTTTTCAACTATTGTCACTATATAATTAGTTTGAAAATTATTTTAATGAATGTTTTGATAATGAATGAAATATTTTCCAAATTTAATATATTTTTAATGAGTATTAATGAAGTTAATATTGCAATAAAGAGAAATTATTGTTATTAAACATATATTTTTATTATTTAAAATATTTTAAGTAAAATGTTTATACATTATTTCATTTTATCTGATTTTTTTTTATCATGTGTTCCTTTGTTAAGAAAAATAATATATATTTTATTAACTAAAACATCGAAGTGTTTTACCGGTGGATTTTCCTCTTGTTCTTATAACAAGTATTTTGATGAATATTTATTTGTGGTCAGATTAAGTATTAGGTTTGATACTTAGAACAAGTATTCTGGTTAAATTGTTTGTTGTCAAAGTTAACAAATTTCAAGTTTTAAATTTATTTATTTGTCTATTTTATTTGTAATTTTTATGATATGATAAAAGAAGCAACTAGGGTATTTTTAAAAAAATCTTTTTTATAATTCAAATTATTATATTTATTTATATATCTTTTATATGAATCTTAAAATGAATTTTGGATATAAAAAACACATTTTTTTTCTAATTTTGTAGTAATTTTATCTATCAAATAAAGGGTGGTAAAATGGATATATGACCCATTTTGCTACACGCCAGTAACTCGCAAACTGAAAATCATTATTTGCGTCACTCGTAGGAGACCAACAAGTTAGTTCGACAAAATTTGAGAAAAAAAAAGGTTCAAGTTTTTATTTCATAAAGTAATCCAAATTAACAAAATTATTTTAATGATATAAAGTATATGTATATTAACAATTCAATCTAAATTTAAGCATAAATTTTCTGTTATTATAAAAGAATTTAGTTTATAAAGTAAACTAAAAATAATAAAATAGTTTTATTTTAAAAAAATACTTAAAACTTAAAAAAAAAATGAGAACCTTAAATACAAACACTGATCACACCTCCAAAGCCCAGAAAGGAAAACACTATCGCTATCACTTAGCATACCTCCAACGTCACACGTCCAAAGGGTGAACTTCATGAACATCTCCCGCGACTACAATTCAAAGCTTCATGCAAAAATCAAAATCAAAATTATATAAATTATTTCTGTACTTTATTTTTTATTCTAAAAATAGGGGCATTTGATTGTATCTTACTTATTAGCTTACGTGGTTGTTCATTGCAAATTCACTTGCATTAGAAATTTTCTACTTAATATTTTAGGTAGTTTTAACAACGTAACTTATGACATATTTTTAACAACGTAACTTATGACATATTTTTCCCATATCTCACTATATTATCCTTTTAGAATAGACTTTTTTTTTTTTTTTAAGTCAAAGACTCGATCTTATATTTATTAGAAAGATATTATTCGATCTAAAATTTTAATTTAATATTTAAAGATGAGATTATTATATTAATATATATATATATATATATATATATATATATATATATTTTTTTCTTTTTAGCACCCGTCGCTTATACGGAATTGTCGACTATCTCCACAATCTAACACGAGACTTTTTAGTTTGTTTTGTCCTTACTTACACTTTCTGAGAATTTCCTAGAAGGTCACACATCCTATAATTTCTCCAAGTCAAACACGCTTAATTATGAAGTTCTTATGTAATAGGCCACCAAAAAGTAAACGCCTTTAACTGTATAGTCTCATACCTATACATCCCCCGAACCACACCATATTAGGAGAGGTTTGTTTGTACAGAATTGTCGACTAGAAGGTCACCCATTCCACAATTTCTCCAAGTCAAGCACGCTTAACTATGAAGTTTTTATGTGATAGGCCTTAGTATAGGTAGTACCAATCAATTCTCTTAAGCTATCCTTCAACTGTATAGTCTCATACCTATACAACCTCTGGATCCCTCTGCTTCGGGTATGTTTTAGTTCATTCATATGACCCTTATGCTGGAAGCCTGCCAGGAGCCGCTCTTTGTCCGTGCCTCACTACACCAGTGATCACTCCCCTGCCCTCATTAGTGTCGGGGATGTCACATATATAATCCTCAACTATTTATAGTTTTTACTTTTAAACCTACAAAATTATAATTTTTACTCTTAAAAGCCTACAAATCTTTTTAAGGATACGTCAAAGATATAAAATTCATTTAAAAAAGTTTATATATATATATATATATATATGAGAGAGAGAGAGAGAGAGAGATAGATATGGAAGTAGAGATATCAAAATGAGTAATTTAACCTGGGTTTGATCCTACGGATTAAGTAAGAAATTTTGATGGTCTAACTTAATCTATATTTTAAAACGAACACAAAATTTTAACCTAATCGGATCCTATATTAGGTTAATGGGTCAATTTTAGTACGATTGACTTTTAAAAAATATATTAATATATCTATACCAAATCAATTAATTAAAAAATATTTAAAAAAAATAAAAAAATTATTTTAAAAATTTAAATTTTATTAATGAAATTAATTTTTGTTTAATATATAATTATTTACTATATAAATTATAAGAGAATATATTCATTCAATCTCAAAATAACAATTAAAAATTTATTTATTTATTATTATTATTATTTATTTTTAGTAATTTATTAATTTTAAATAATAATTAAATTAAAAATTTATTTTAATATTTACTTATAATCCCACTCAAATTAATTTATAATATATATATATATTAATAAAATAATATTATTTTTATTTAAAAATTAATTATTATTCTATACCATTAATGAATACATAAATCTATCGATTAATATGTCCTAAACCTATGTTATCCTAAACCTATATAGGTCATAACGTAAATAAGCCTATATAAGTCATAACGTAAATAAGCCGGACCAAAATAAATTTAATTTAATTTAAATTATAATTTGTTTTATCTACTTTAACCTATTTTTCAAATTTTACAAATTGATTTTTCGAATTTTACAAATTGATTTTTCGAATTTTACAAATTGATTTATCGGATTAAACATATTTTAACGGGTATCTTGACACGTAAATGGATAAAGAAAATTGTTGAGTGCATGAATAAAAATCCACTTGATTAGCTTGCTTGAATTCACTTGTCCCTTTTCGGTAAATGTCTCCACCCATGTCATTTTTATATTTCTTATTCTTCCTAAAGAAATCAGACAGCAACAAGAGAACTAAAGGAGTAAAGGTGGCATTTCAACGAAAGTAACATTTAGAAGGAAACAATGACGAATATCCATCAATAATCACTGAACACAAAACTAATAATACCTGATATCCAATCTACCAATAACCAAAAGGTAATCTAGAAAGAACAGTACTACAATGAAAGGTGTGGTAGGTCCAATTATATACTACCACAGACTAATTACTAATCAAGAATCTAAACCCAAGAGAAGTACTACCCCAGCTTAAAGCTGACTCCACTAGCTTCCTTAGCTTTGTTCCTTTATATAATTAACCTAAAACGCCCCTGCAGTATTAATTTGCTTGCCAATATATGTTTCATATATTTCCACGACAAGACGAGGATTAGTGTCCACGAGCTCCGCATAATATTCATTTTGAGTGAGCAAATCCATTTTTTCCAAAATCACTGCCAAGGACGCACTTCGTAATTGTTTGCAATCGTATTGATATGCAAAGGCATAGTTTGCAATAGCCTTATTCCAATTCATTTTGGCGATCAAATACTTCTCACAGTATGTCTTGAGATGCTTCACCTGATACTTTTCTCCCAAAACCAACAGGTTACAGGCCATTTGGTTATCAAGGGACGCTTCAGCGGTGTATAAATAGTTAACGAAAGCACGAAGGGTATCATCTGATACGTCAGAAATCCTGATGGTGCCACTCCGCCTTTCCTCCATATCATTCTCTAGCATTGCATTGAAAACAGGAGAGCGACTAACCTAATCATAGCATAAATTGTCATTAGCTTCATTAAGAAAAGCCAAAACACAAGAATAAGATCGTAGCAACATCAGTATAGAAAATCTAATCAAGGATGCCTAATTGCACCGTAAAGCAATATCCAAAGATAATGTGAAACAGTCAGGGATTAGAAGATTTTGTGTTAAATATTGTTAATCAGTCTACATATCTGATTTGAATCCAATTCAAGGTGGTGTATACTACAAGTTTCTTGCATCCAGTCAAGCATACCACTTCAGAGTTTCACCTGCCACTGTCAAGGGTTTCTTAAAGAAAATTAGAAAAGCAAAAATAAGAAGAGAAAGGGCCTACGTTTGGAATAGGAAACTATTTAGACGACGTTAAATACATCTCCTGTCCGGTTACAGAATGTAAGGACTAAAATTTCAAATAAATGATTGAAACGAGTTACTGCATCAGTTTATTTAAAAGTTTCACCCTTTCCAGAGCCATGCATATCCTTGGCTAAAACTGTTTCTCAACTCATTGATCATATTATAACAGCATATTATACTGTATGGGACAGATAGAGAGGACAGAACACAACCATTAAAATTTGTATACTACTACTTCACTCCTATCCTGATTCTGAAGCAAGATAGGTAAAACAATCCAGTATGGCACTTAAATGTAAAAGTTTCTCGTCATCAACTTGCCTGACTAGTTTAGCTGTTACCTGTTAGCAATCAAACGGGTCTTTTGACTGAAGAAAATTTCTCTATTTTAACAAAACAAGCTTTGTCTAACGTTTTTATGCGATTGCACAAGATAAAATTTCTGTCAAGCAACCATTATTTACTTCCCTAACATGGTTTTCAAAATAAAAAATGAAAAAACAAAAGTACAGGCTTTTTAAAGCCTAAAAACTTTGTATACCCTCAGTTATCAGACAGTCTAAATCATCAAATGCATTATATAACTAATAGTCAGACAGATAATTAAATAAATAACAGCTGCAACCTTTAATTCATGAACGCAAAGAATAAGGATTTTTCTGATTTTAAAAACAATTTTAAAGATAATCTTAAAAAAATATTTTAGAAAACAAAATGACAAAAAGTCACAATAAAAGTTCTTCTACTATTTTGACAACTTGAATTTGATATCTTCCTGATAATAAAAATGAATAACATAGTGTAATTATGGGTAAAGGTGTCATACCATTAATAAGATCAGAAAGTTACAAATAAAAAACACCTTTTATTAATTTTTAAAAACTAAAAAAATAAATCATTTTAAAAATTAATTTTAACAAAATAATTATCAAATAAGTTTTTTACTGTTTAAAAACTGAAAGCAATTCTTTGAAAAGTGCTCAAACAAGCCCTATTTCACTCTCAAACTATTATCATCTCTCTAGTATCTGAAGTAATAAATTAAGTGATTCCTAAAATCCTGAATATCTATTAGTTTAGACCTAAGTTGTTATATTTCATAAAAATTCAGGGACTAATTTGAAGTAATTTTCAAAATTTAAGGGACCATAGAGAGTGAGAGTTCAAGATCAAACCACTTCTCAGGTTAACAGTTTCTTGTAGCTTATTTTCATTAAGAGGTTTTACTATGTCATATATTGTTGATTGTTAAGTCTATATGTAGTTAATGTTGCATAGCTTTCTCTGATTCCAGAAATTTTCTGTAGTTTCCTCTTATATTGGAATTGATAGAGTTTGCATCCACTGGAAGAGAGATTGATAACAATGTAGTGGGTGCCCAGGGACGTAAGCTACAGCACATTGCTCTAATCCAACCACTTAAATCTTGGTGATGTTTTTCTCCTATCCTCCATGTTTCTTGATTTATTCTGGCTAGTTTGATTTCTCTTATTCTTTTAAGCAAGATTTGTGGTGGTTTCTCTATCCTCATCTTACCAGTATAAAAAATCAACACTTTGATCAATAAAAAATAATGAGATAAGTCACAGATCACAGTAATCACAGAGGAGTCTTAAAATTGGAGGACGTGTAGATATAGTGTCCCAATTGATTATCAATTTTCAATAATACACAGTACAGGAGCGTGATTCAACAAAGAAAATTTGACTAACCAGAATGTGCTTATGAGCAGGAATGGGGACCGCGTCAGAGTCGTCAACAGCAACTAGGACAATATCTGCAGTAGATGAATCGAGGGTGGGAGAGGAGAGTGTGAGGAAGGAGACTTTCGATTTGAGGTCGCTGATCTCGAGACGGAGCTCTTCCTCAGCCTCGTTGGCCTCTTGGTAGCACTCCCTGCAGGTTCCAGAGTCGTCCACCTCGTAATCCTCCTCACAGGAGAGGCACTGCATGATGACCCCATCCACGTTGCTGTCTCGGCTTCCTGTCTGCCCCGCAGACGCTGTGCACCGCCGTGGAGGCATTTTTCTCTGAGTCCGCGAAACGCAACTGCACAAAGCTGTATGCTGATATACACAGCAAATAACCCAATGGTAAACACAAGACGAAGGACAATCTCGTCTTTATTTTTATCTTTTTCTTTTTATTATTACAAAATATTCCCAAAATTTTTAAATATATAATAAATGAATTTTACAAATAATTATTTTTGTAAAATTTAAGTAATACGCTAAATTATTGGTTTAGTTGTTCACATCTTAAAAATTGAAAAAATAGTTTAATTTATTTTTTAATAAAAAAATATTACTTTTTATAATTTAATTAATTATTTTTTAAATTTAAAGTTTATTTATTTAATACCTCAATAGAAACAAAACTTAGTGTAATGATTGAAATTGATTTACTATATATTTTATTTAATTTGTGATATAAATAAATATAAATTGAGTTCTTTAATAAATTTATAAATTAATTTATTTATAAAATAATAATGATATTTTAAAATTTTATTTTATTAATATATATTAATTGTATATTAATAATTATTATATAATTCAAATTTAAAAAAAATATATTAAATAATGATCTATAATCAAATCAAATAAAGTATTTGATAATTATATATATATATATATATATATATATATATTGTATTTTATTTTTATATTAGTTTTTTAGTTAAAAGTTGTTGTTTTTTATTGAAAATTATGAGAATTTCAACTGTATATTAATTTATGGTCATTTCTTGGAAATGACAAAAATTCCAACGGCTGTCTTGTTTAAAATAATTTGTCAGATATCACATTTTACGGAAAATGCAACCAACTTTAATGAAGTTATTGGCATACTATAAGTCAAGTCAAATCCAATAAACAAATGGATATTTAATTTGTTAGTTGAAACTTTTAATATTTTAAGTATTTAAATTGAATATTAATAACTATTATCTATGAAGTAGATGTTTAGATACCTATTATAATTGATTTTAGCCTCTACCATATATATATATATATATATATATATATATATATATATATATATATATATATATATTAAAAGATTGGAAATAAGTATTTGCTCCTCTTTTAAAATTAAAATTAATTATAAAATAATTAAATCTAATTTAAAAATTGTAAAATCTCAAAATAATTAGATTTTATGGTATTTTCAGAAATCATTAACCTGAATTTGAAAATTTATATCATTTGTGGTATTAATTTTGACAAATTGGAACTAAGGAAGTACTGCCTATGAACATATTAAAAGGTACCTTTGGAGTTAGCTAATAACAAATTAGAAAATTTTCATCCCACCAAAAAGATTTGTAATTTTTTGACCTTGAACTGAAACATGCACAGTTAAGTAGAGACAGTTGTTCTTACTTGTACATATATGCACGTTCCTTTGATATAACTACTATTCGCATACTTGTACATATATGACAATTAAAAAATCATTTTTCTTTATAGATTTACATGGTTGGAACATGACCTTATTAGTCGAGAACTAATAACAACTAAACATAATAATAATAATAATAATATATAATAATAATAATAATAATAATAATAATAATAATAATAATAATAATAATAATAATAATAATAATAGTTATCTTATTCTATAATTTGATAAGTGATAAAAAAAAGATAATTATATTTTTTAAAAATTTGTAAGATCAAATAAAAAAAATGTATTTCATATAAAAAATATCAATTTAATAAAAAATATAATAATATTAACTTCTTATTATTAAAATAATAAAAACAAATTAATAGAATTTATATAATAGTAAAATCAAAATAAAAAAAAGTATCCCGAATATCTAAAATTTCTTAATTTATTAGAAACCCTAAAATTTCTAATCCTTTCATCCCTCAATCTAACCTGCCACATTTATTCGAAAATTCTAAATCCCTCAATTCCTCAATCTAACCTAGAAGGTGGTGAGCAAGCATCAAGCAACCGCAATGTAATCACTGCACAACCAATGTGCGACCACCCAAAGCGAGCTTTGCGTGACCAAGGGGCAAGCATGGATGATGACCACCGACGACGATAAGCAGTAACAAACAGTGGAAAAGAGCGAGATCTAAACTTGTGAGAAGAAATAAAAAAAGTCGAAGAAGATCCAAGTTTTTTTTCTTTCAGATTCGATGACTCGTCTCTAACTCGCGACTTTATTCAGAGTCCACTAAGTTTACCGACTTTGACTTCGAGTCTACTCTAAAATGAGTTTACTCATGAGTTAACTCGTACGCGATTATTTATTTAACTTGTTAATTCATAAGAATCAACGAGTTAACTCACGAGTTTGATAACCATGAATATATTTGAATCTTCAAATGAATATTAAAATTATATTGTGTGACAAATAAAATATTAAAATTATATTGTATGACAAATAAACAAGTGAGGTGTTGATGTAGTATAAAAATGATAATTATTAAAGAATATTTTTTGATATATTTATTAATTGCACAATAAATAAATATTAATATTATAAAACAAAAATAGTTTGACTTTATTTATTACTATAGTAATAATCATATAAACAAAAGATGAAAGAAATTTATATAACTTAAATTATATATATATATATATATATATATATATATATATATATTTATAACTCATTAAAATTTTATTATAATCAAATGATAGTGTATCAACTTTTGAGTATTTTATATATATTGATAACTCATTAAAATTTGATTATATTCAGATGATAGTATATCAACTTTTTGAGTATTTTGTATTAAGAAGAAGAGAAATTATATGATGTGACTAATATAAGGAGGAATAGGGAGACACGAGGTGGCTATGTTCCTTAAAATTTTGTAATTTTTTTCTTTATATATATATATAATTATAAAAAATAAAAAATATATGTTTTAAATATAAAAAATTATTATTATATTTTTTATAAATAATAATAATATCTATCATTCTTATTTTTCTTATATGATTTTTATTTATATATTTTCTCTCTATTTTTTTTCTTTATTATTCTTTTCACTTGCGTACTCTTATTTTTCATAGTTTCATCTTATAATATAAATTTATAAATTTTTCTCTTTAAATTTCATTTTTTTAAAGTAAATACATTTTTTATTATTTTTTTTCACTATTATAATATATTATCATGTATATTATTTACTACCAATTAATTAGTTATTTTAATAGCTTATGAGACATTAAAATAAGCTTATGAGGACATGTCTTATCGGCTTTGCCAGATTCAGTCATCTCATAAACTTTTGTTAATATGCAAAAATTATATTTAAAGGAGTTGAATATGATGAGTTATTTAAAGAATATCAAGATATGTATGAAGGTTTTACCAAGTTATCTAAGAAATACAATGCACTTAGGCAAAAGTTTAATGCATTAGAAAATACTGTTGGTATTCTTGAAAAAGAAAATGAGTGCTTAAAGAAAGATGTTGAGAAATATAAAACTTTGTCTAAAAATAAAGAAGTTGCTAAACCTTGTGAAAATTGTAATCTTTTGGAAAATGAGATTTTCAAGTTAGAAAAAATAATAAGCAATTTTTCAAAATCTTCTGAAAATCTTGATTCGATATTAGGTTATAAAAGAGGAAATTCTAGCAAAGCTGGACTTGGTTACAAACCCAAAGAAAGTCTAGAACCTCATAAAACTATTTTTGTGAAAGAATCAAGGAAAACAGATGTGAAACCAGTTTCAAAAACTTTAAGAAACGCATTTAGACCTTTTTAAAGAAAACCAACATGTTTTTATTGCATGAAAATAAGTCATACATCAAATAAATGTTACATAAAACATTTTGGCATATCTAATGGCAAATATGAATGAGTGCCTAAAGGATCAAAACATTTATACATGTCTAGATGATAATTTGAGCATCTAATTGATTATCAGAATCAAAATTTTTTTTTCTTGTTGTCATAATCAATTATGTTAAAAGTTTGAATTTTGAAAGTTTGAATTTAAGAAAATTTGAAATTATTAAAGTTTTAAATTTTGCAGGTTGAGATTCTTGAAATTTGAAATTTTGCAATTTGAGATTTTTGAAAATTAAAATTTTACGAGTTTGAGATTTTTTTGCAATATGAGATTTTTGAAATTTGAAATTTTGCAATTTGAGATTTTTGAATTTTGAAATTTTGTAATTTGAAATTTTTGAAATTTGAAATTTTATAGTTTGAGATTTTGAAATTTGAAATTTTTGCAGTTTGAGATTTTTGAAATTGAATTTGAATTGGAATTTGAAATTGGAATTTGAAATTTGGGATTAGAAATTTGAATTTGAAATTTGGAATTTGTAGGAATTTGAATTTGAAATTTGTTGCAATTTGAATTTGAAATTTGAAATCTGAAATATGAGTGCATTTGAATTTGAAAGCTGCCTAAATAAGAAGATTACAATGGAAAGAAACTACTGCATTTAATTCCATTATCTCTATAATAATTTTATTCTCCTATCTTTCTCTCTCTTCATTTGTCTTAGGTATCCTAGATATTGTTTCCTTAATATGATATTCTTCTCTATGACACTTTTTAATGCATTATCTTCTCTCTCATGATTTATATACTAATAGGTACAAATTTGTTCTCAGTTTCTATTGCAATATTTTTCATAATTATCAATGAAACAGGAAGATATTTTGATGATATTAATCTGTGTGAAACAGGGGGAGATTTTTTTTCTCTTATAATATTTTTCATAATTAACAATGAAACATGGAAATATTTTGATGATATTAATCTGTCTGAAACAGGGGAGATTTTTTTTCTTATAATATTTTTTTTAATTATCAATGAAACATGGAGATATTTTGATGATATTAATCTGTGTGAAACAGGGGAATATTTTTTTCTTATAATTTTTTTTTATGATTATCAATGAAACAGGGGGAGATTTTTTGATGAATTAAAATCTATGTGAAATTCTTTCCTATCTAAATTAAACAAGGGGAGTTAAGAGAAGTATTTGCTCATATGAGTTAGGGGAGTCTTGTTATTAATATATCCAGGCGGAGATTAAGAGACTCGACACTTGATACAAATTTGTGCTAATCTTGAAGTCTAGCTATATAGAGTCAAGCATTTTAATTCATTTCAGGTGTTTCCTTGATCATCATCAAAAAGGGGGAGATTGAAAGCAATGAGGGGGAGATTGATGGAAATGTTCCTGCATTCCCAATATATGATTTTGATGATGATTCAAGTCAACTACATTCAAGTCAACACCATTTAAGATGAATTTAAGGACAAGTTGAATTTATGACGTAGGTGATAAAGATGATGATTCAAGCAAGCCCAAGATGATTCCCGAAGACTAGATAGAGTCTTAGAATACTCGGATATGGAGGTACAAGTTGATGAAGTAATATTATGCATAAGCCTCCAAAGCACCAAGTGTGATAAAATTCATAACATGATATTTTTCACTGTCATAATTAATTATGATGCACCAGAAATGGAAAAATGATTTTCTTTATCATAATTAATTATACTGGTAATATAATCAATTATGGTAATTCAAATTTGAAAAATATATATGTTTTAAAGAATAAATGTTTTTGAATACATCCTGATTTTCTCTATGATATTATTAATGTCCAACAACCATTTTGTGATGCTATTTTTCCATTCAATTAAGTTTTGATGAAAAATCAAACACACACAATTACAGAATTCGAAAATACAATTTACATTCAATCAATTTTGAGAAAAGAATTCTGAGCAAGGCACCAGAGATATTTTACACCTTTTGAGAAAACCCTCTTCTCTACTGTCTTCTGTGCTTTCATTGTTAATCACACTTGTTCTTGGAGATTGACATTCTACATGCTTCTACAATTTGTTGTCTCCATTACCCAGGTGTGTCTGTTCTTATTTTTATTACTTTCATCCTTTTGGCATTGGTGGAAAAGGAGGTGTTTTTCATCTCTAGTGTGATTCTAGGGAGGGGTTCATCCTTAGTGAGATTCTAAGGAGGTGTTTTTCATCCTTTGATTTGTTCAGAGGAGGTGTTCATCCCTAGTGGGATTCTAGGGAGGTGTTCATCCTTAGTGAGTTTCTAAGGAAGTGATTGTCTTTTTAATTAGTTTACTTTTTACTGGTTCTTCTACTGAGTTGATTGTAATTTGTAAACTGAATTTGAAAGATAGTGAATGAGGAGTCACTCTTGTGTTAAAAGTTGACTGGGAACTAGATGTAGGGTTGACTATACCCGAACCAAGTATAAATCTCTCGTGCTCTTCTCTTTCTCTTTTCCTCGATTATATTATTGCTTCCATTCTAACAAATTATTGACTTACAAATAAATTTTTAATTTGACATCTATTTTAATTTGTGCATCTATTCACCCCTCTCTAGATGTCATTTGTCTAACATAAATAATTTTTAATAATTTTATATAATATATTTTTTATATCATAAATAATTTTAATATATATATTATTATATATAAAGAATTTTATATTTAAAATAATTTTGTATAAATAAAAATAATATATAAATTTTAAAAATGTTACCTATTTCTTAAACGATCTAAATGCTAATTAGTGTTTTTGATGCATATTACGTAACTAAAAAAATATTTTTTATAAGTATGTATTTATAATTTTTTAATATTTAATATAATTTTTTTAAAGAATTATTAATTAGACAACTCCTTTAAATAAAAAAGGTTGAACCAATTTCACATCATCTATATCTTAATATAGGTCAATAGATAATTTTGACACATTTAAGAGAGAAAAATAAAATAAATATATATATTTTAAATAATATATCTATATATGTATATATATTTAAATTTAAATCATAAAAAATTATTCTAATTTTAGATATAATAGTTCTTATATATATATATATATATATATTAATAAAATAATTTTAAATTTATTTAAATTATAATAATTGTTTTAAAAAATAACCTTGACAATAAATTTAATAAAAAATAAAATTACATTAGTTATTTTAAAACATTGAACATATAAAAAAAAACATAAAGGACAAAATAACAGACAAGATAATTACAAAATAGCATCCATCTAACCTGTTTCCGTCCATAGTATTGAGCAAATGTTGGAAGATATTACAAATTACGAAAAAAATAAATAAATAATAATTTGAAGTAGTAAACACACTGTTTCAGCATTAACCAGGACTGTCAGCGTGCCAAGGAAACTGGGTAAACGGGTCTTCGATGGTTTCGAAATTACTAAGATACTTATATATCTATTTTTCTTCCTCTTCGGATTAACACATATGAAAGAGTAGTTACTGCACTTCAACCCAGATTTCAACCACCCTTAACCTCCTCCTCCAACTTGCAATTTTTATTTTTTATATTTTTACCTGTAATCATTTATTGGGGGCAACTGAGTGGAGTGTCCTGACTTCTAATGGCTTCGTGAGGTTTTTGCTTTAGGAGGCATTTGGGTATTCAAATCTTTGAAAAAATTTTGGATCTTTGAAGGTTGGCCGATGGGAACAGTAAAACCCTAATTTTGTTCTTCTGCAGCTTTTTATTGTTGTTATCTGTATTTTCTTTTTCTTTATGGGGACTGAGGATGGAACAAGCGATGCGGATAAGACCGAATGTGGTGAACGACTCCAGTGTTTGAAAGATGAGGCCATGAATGGTGAGGTGACAATTAAAGATGGGAATTGTGTTACTGAAGAGAGACAGCATTTGAAAAGTGAAACCATGAATGATGGGGTGAAAATTGCTGATGCAAATGGTGTTGGTGGAGAGGTTAGGGTCTTGAAAAGTGAACCCTTTAGTAATGGGGTGGCAGTTGGATATAAAGGGGATTCTGGTGGAGTTGAATGTTTGCGAACTTATAAGAGGCGCAAGAAGTCAAGTTCAAAAGGCAAAGTTCAGGAACAATGCAGAGCAGGCATGAGAACTTCGAGTCTAATAGCAGCACAGGTTGCTATCCTCTTTGTTGAAACTTGTCAATTTGCTTAAGTGATTTTCCATATTCTGTATGTTATTTGTTGCTTACATTTTTTAGAATTGTTTGAACGGTTTCTTGCCAGGATTTTAGTTTTGTGCTGGCACGATTTGGAAAAGGCACGCATGAGTAAAACCTAAAAATGTATGCAGCTGGTTAATTAGTTTGGAAGATAATTTCAGTGCCTGCTACTAGTAATTGTGGCTAGTTGTATTTTGGGGGTGCATTAGTAATTGGTTATAGTTGTTTTAGTCATTAACAGGAAAGAAAATGAAGTTGTCTTTGGTTATTTGGAGCAGTCTTTGGTTTCTTATTCTTTAGTCACATCATTTAGCTGTTTGCTAATGAATCAGGTTTTTGGTTAGTTGCAGAGAAATAGAAATCAGGTAATATTTATAAAGCTGTGTGATTTATAGCATGTGGAAGAATGCTAATGTTTAATTTGAAGTCAATACAACTTATGTACATATTTTCTCATTGATGCTCTTATATTCTGGATGACTTGTGGAGTTACTTGTCTATATATCTTTTAGTTTATAATTTCTGCTTATAAATATTTGTTGGGTGAAGTAAATGAGATGTAATGCATTTGATTGACATTTTGGTTACTTTAGGTTACTGTGAGTTCAATTTAAGTCTGTAAATTGAATGACAAAAAAAAAAATTATGGAAAGATCCACACACAAAAATCTGGTTCATCAGTTTTATTTTAATTTTTTATATTAGTATTCTGTGTTCTGTTTTTTAAGATTAGATGACCATGTACCTAAGCTATTTTAGTTAAAATTTATTCTGTCGATAAATGGAGTTAAGTCAATTTAGGATAATTATGTCAAAGATTGAGCACACAAAAAAGGATATACAAGAACATATTGATCATGGACTATCCGTGGACTTTGATGGCGAGAGGGAACTAATTTACTAATTTTGCTTTATTCATGTCAGCATTGCTATGATTAGATCCTACCCTATCTACATATTTATTATCGTTATACTATAAATGCTGGGATGCAATGATTTAGTCAGATAAGATTTTAACTATAAAATGATACCACATTGGTGTGCATACATGTTTAATTTGAGGGTGTTGAGGGTTGAGATGTTAAAAACTGTAGGGTAGGTAATATATGATAAAATTGTCTTCCTTTTTTATCGTCTTAGTTCAGTATTAATACTAATTTCTTCTATTCGTAAAAAATATGCTGCTGGGGTCATACATTTTTCTACATCACCAGACAGCATGGCATGATTCTCACCCTGGAAGATAAATGTTCTGAAGTACAATAGATACTGTTTCTTCTTGATATCTTCAACACTATATTTTGATTATTATTATTATTATTATTATTATTATTGTTATTATTATTTTATTGCAGGACGTGAAGAAACCGTGTGATCTAGCTTTAGGCAATACTTCAGATGAGTGTTCCCAAGGACAGTGGGGAAATATTGTGCTAAAGCATTTATATCAGTCATTAGGTGATGGCAATGGAAATGGCGGCATAGTGGGTTGCATAAAGGAAGCACTTAATCCTAAACATAATCATCCCATTAGTTCTATGGTTGGTTCTTCAGCTAGAACAATATATATCCTGCTTACTCAACTTATCCTAAAGTATTTTTGGCCACTTTTAGTTTATGCTCCATCTTATTTTGTTTGCAGGAAACATTAATAATTGACAAAGATGGTCAAGAATGCGCTTCACAATTTGAGCAGCTTTCCCGTAGAACAGTAAAGGAATCTAATCGACATGCAGATGTCCTGTGTAATGGACGTTCCAGTGAATCACCTGATCATGGTGTGACTGAGATGTGTCAGCGTGTGCTCTGTAATATCTTAACCTCAGAAAATTTCAGTTCATTATGTAAGGCTTTACTTGGAAATTTCCAGGGAATGAAGCCTGAAAGTGTATTTGACTTTACAATCATGAACTCAAGGATGAAGGAGCAAGCTTATGAAAAATCACCAGCACTCTTCTTGTCAGATATTCAACAGGTAAATTATGTAGTCCCTTTTTAACTGAACAATTTCTTTATTCCTATGATGCCTGGTACTAATTAAAAATTGTAGATGACCAAATATCCGGTTTACCTGGAATGTGAGGTTGAGGTCTAAGCCTTGTCGATAATGTTTCGACAATATTGTTATCAATATAATATTGCTCTTTCATCTAGACATTTTAATTAATGGAACTTCAAACTTCAATCATGAAGATTTTAGGCATCAAATGTTTGAGCTTGATAAGCTCTTAATTCTGCAGTGAACAGATTCTTGGACTCTAAACTTGGTTTAAGTTAATGAAAGGGCAAACCAATTTCATATTTTAACAAATAATTTGTTTGTCAAATCTTTGTAGTGTCAGGTTGTTTGGTTAAGATTTTGAAAAATTGATTATTTAGGAAAGACTATATATATATTATATAAAAAGGGAGGCAGTGGTTGGATTGTGTGCAACAGTGCAAGTACATGTGCATAGTTGAGAAAATGATAGTTATTTTTTATAGTTTGTACTTGCATTTGTACGCTGTAGTGCTTTCAAGTATTCACTCCAGTTTCTTGATCTCCTTCGTTTACTTTGGTTGGGTGGGCTTATGCGTGCATGTTATGAACACATGTTTAGCAGATCCTCATCTGCCCCCTTTTTCCTTTTCTACTAATTGTTATGATTTGAGAAAATCTAGTAGTTCTTAATCTCAGTTATAAGAATCTTATGATTCATGATTTGAGTCTTTTGAGTCAGATACCTATCAATTTGTATCACGAGAAGAATTTAAAATGATTTGTATCTTATGATACATGAATGAATATTTGCAAATTCGTTTCATCAAATACGACTCACATGATTCAACAATTCATCAATTCTCATGAAAGAAATTGAAAAGCCATATAATCGTAAATAACATGAAAAGGAATTGAATGCGTAGTTCTGTATTCATCTTATTTGATTATTCCACATTTCTACTATTTTATTTATCCTTCACTCATTCAATGTATGCACTTTATTTGGTTATTTCATTGCTCCCTTTCCATTTTACTAAAATAGAGGAGGCTTCACGAACTCAAATGCAACTAATAATTTTGTCTGTTGAGACTTATGGTTAAGTTGTTTTGATCTATTTCTAGTTTAAATTATTATATTAAACATTATATATCATCTATATGGTGTATTTGAAGTTAGTTTTCATTATCCCAAAATATTACTATTCGATACAAGTTATGGTTAATATTCAAAAGCAATTCTATATTTTAAGTTTGATTTGATAACCTTGCAATATTTTCAATAATTTGTTCCTATTTCGCATTTATTAATTTTTAGCTAATATTTCAAAATATTGTTCTTTTTCTTTTGAAAATTTAACACCCTGTTTCCTCCTGTTTTGAGCTGTGGCCAGGCCAGATCATAATTTTGTTTAGGGTTTGTTTGGTGCATTAAATTGTATTACCATTGCACAAACTAACCATTTTAGTTTCTGGTTGTTATTTTTGTATTAATTATACGTTTAGGTTTGGAGAAAGCTTCAAGACACTGGTAACGAGATTGTTGCTCTTGCCAAGAGCCTCTCCAGTATATCAACAACTTCTTACTCTGAGCTGGTAACAAAATTTCTTTCAAACCTCTTTAGTTTTATGGTCTGTTTTCCTTCTGGATTTTGTTGTGTTCTTCCTATATATGATGCTAATATGCTGCTTTCCTTTAATGCAAACCCTAATTTTTCCTTACTTTTAGGTGTGAATTTCAGCACTTAGCACATTTCAAGATGAGAAGCAACTGTTAAGAGTTTTAAAATTTTAATCTGATTTTTCTCTAGATCATGATGAAGTTGTCAGTTTTGCTTTGACATATCTTCAAAATTTGGATAATTTATTTCTCTAGCATCTCATCTCAAACAGCAGTCAGAGTCATGGGAACTATTGTTTTGTTAGGATATAGTAAGATACAGTGTGTTTGTGTAGTAATTCAGACAATTTAGTGGAGAGATGATGTTTTGAGAAAATATGAAGTAATACTGTAAATACAATCTATTATAATAGTTTATTTTATTGCTTAACTAGTTGAGGTAGGTTAACTTGTCTTATCTAAAAGCTGCTTTGCCTTTTAGCATCTGGCACCTAGGTATAGCCTTTTGCCTCTACACTCTTTGTAATTGTGATGTAATTTCTCCTGCAAATAAATGGATCAGCTAAGAGATAATTAATCTTTTAAGCTCTTTTCTCAAATTTTCAGTCTTTAGTCAATCCATCTTACTTTTTGTTGGCTGGGAATCAGATAGGCATATCAATGTATACAATTTGAAAAAGATTATCAAAGAAAAGTATAAGATGAAAATTTGCACATGCCACTGATTATGGTGGAGACACATGCAGTTGATTCTTAATTATAGCCAGGACCAGAATCATAACAGCAGAGACCAAAATCGGATCTTTCCTTTTTGCTCTGTTTCATTGTATCTGGAACTTAAGAGTGGGTAATCTCTGTTTCTGGTGGTCATCTGCTTTTTGTTTGTCTGTTTTGCTGGCCACAAACCAGAAACTTATTGGTTATATGCATGTTTTTCTTTTGGAAACTGTTAAGGTATGAAGCATGAAGGCATAGTTATGTCCCCATATGTGAAGAGACAACTAATTATGTTGAAAATATTTGTTATTTGACTATATATTATGTGAAATGGTGTGATAGCCAGCCAAGCCTTGAGAGCAGCAGACCCAATTAGTTGAAAGCTTATACGGAGTAGAATCTGGACTGTACAAGTGTAGGGTGGTATCAATAGGTCCGTTGGGTCTTCTAGTATAAAGAAGTAACTCCTGTATTGGATTGGACATGAATGAAATTACGCTTATTTAGCCTGTCCCGTGTTTTATTTATGCTTTACTGTAACCTAGTTGGTCCTGATTTCCTTCTCATTCTTTTTAACAGGCTAAATTAAGGTAATTTCATTCATGACTTCTTTATACTGGAGGATCTAACGATCCTATTGATACTACCCTACACCTGTACAGCCCAGATTCTACTCAATATAAGCTTTCAACCAATTGGGCCTATGAATGTTTCGTTTGGGCCTGCTGCTCTCTTGGCCTGGCTGGCTATCATGGTTAAATTCAGTTTTATTTGTCAAAGTTTTCTAAGATATATAATGGGATAGAATACTTGAAATTTGAGATAAGGTGCACTTACGCCAAGTGGTGCTAACAACTGTGATTGTCTATTTGATTTCAAATGTATATATGTTATTATTGGGGACAATGGATTCCAACCCAGATTATGTTATTTGTTTCCAGAATTTTAAAAAATAAGCCCTTCATATTGGAAAATAAATTTTTTAACTATTAAAACCTTATTTTCTGATCTTTGACTGATAGACATTGATATTGCATTTACTGTTTAAGGATTTGTTAAAATAAGACTGGAAGGGGGTTTGTTTGGTTATGTAATATTATTGTCTGAAATTCCTGTTTGTAAATATGCTAGATTTTGCAAACTTCTGTTATTAATGAATTTTAGAATGTTAACACTAGAAAACACTTGCCATATATCGATACTAATATTATTTGGTACTGTAGAGTTTTGCTCCAAATATTTATTAAAATGGTCGTGAGGATTTTTTTTTCTTTTTAATTTTGTTTTTTCATACAGTTCAACAATCGAGAATTTGGCTCTCACTTGAAACCAGAACGGACGCAAGAATGTGCTATGTACAAAATTTGCAGTTGCAGCCGTTGCGGAGAGCAGGCGGATGGCAAAGACTGTTTGGTTTGTGATTCATGTGAGGAGATATACCATGTGTCCTGTATTGAGCCGGCGGTGAAAGAAATAATACCCCACAAAAGCTGGTATTGTGCCAAGTGTACTGCTAATGGGATTGGATCTCCACATGAGAATTGTGTGCTATGTGAAAGGCTAAGTGATGAACAGACCCCAAATGACATTATTGATGATGAAAGCTTTCCTACAATTGAGGAAACACAAAATGAATATGAAGAGAATTCAAATTGCACCTCTGTTGGGAATCAGGTTTCTGTAGGTGAGAAAAAAACACACATTTGCAAAATTTGTAGAAATGAAGTGGCTGGTAAAAAAATAAAAGTATGTGGCCATAGGTTTTGCTCCAACAAATATTACCATGTAAGGTGTTTAACAAAAAGGCAGTTAACGACATATGGTCACTGTTGGTACTGCCCTTCTTGTTTATGCTGTGTTTGCTTAATTGATCGTGATGATGATCAGATTGTTATCTGTGATGGCTGTGATCATGCATATCACATCTATTGCATGAAACCTCCTCAGACATCTATTCCAAGAGGGAAATGGTTCTGCAGAAAATGTGATGCTGGAATTCAAGCAATCCACAAGGCCAAAAAGGTGTATGAAAGTAACAAACCAAGCAGAAATAGGGAAGATGCTGCAAAGCCAAATGCTAATCTTGAAAAGAAACAATGCAATAAACGTGCAAGAGAATTGGAAAGAGGTGGTGCAATGGACATGCTTTTAACCGCAGCCAATACTCTGCATTTTGAGGAGAAGGAGGCGGCAATCCGGATTGAGTCACAGACAACCTGAATTTTGTGGACGGCTTTGTTAACATTCCGGTTATGGTTAGCAACGACTTTAACTTCGTATTTGTTGACTGTTGTTAATACACTGTACTTTATTTGCTGCATTTTTTGAATGACTGATGTTTTGGTAGGCTGTAATACTCTCTAGATTTCCTGACTTTTTCATACAAGACATGGAGAGACATGACTATAGAGGCTAAAGAGCCAAAGGCATAATCTGAAACTGCTGTATTGTAAGTGCCATATGTGAGAGTAAGTAGGTCAGATACTGTAGTATAGAGATGGTTTATATGAAATTTATATTTGGCTGTTTTTCTTGTTTCATTCAGAATATTGTATTTAGGGTCTGGATTTTGTTAGCCAATTTCCCATGGTTGCATGATTAATTTCTGTTACATAAAAAATTAAAAGAATGGAGAGTTTTTTCCCCATGGTTTAGAATTCATTAATTCAGTACCATGTCCGAATAAAGCTTGTTCTGCATTCATGTGCTTGAGATTTGGTCAGTGAAATATTTTTCCTTTTCAAGTACCGTGTACCTGCCCACGCCTTCGGTTGTTTGTTTGGGAGTTCAGAATGTGTTACTTAAGGTTGGAATGTGATATTGCGATGGTAAATGGTTAAAGCACAAAAGTTTTAGTGCGATTTAGTTTCCAACTTTCAAATAAGTCCCCTTTAAGGTTATACGCTTTCGTCTCTATAACATGCTTCAAAATTAATTTCCAAAATGAAAGAAGTCAAATGAAAGGCGTGACTTGAATTTTTTAGCGTACGGTAAAGTATGCAGATAATTATATATATGTAGTACTACTTGACATGTTGATGTCTAACATACTGCATGCTGATAAACGTATACAATATCCAAACATATATTTTTCTACTGATAGAGTTGCAACATTCATTGTAAAAAAAACAAAGATAAGGATAAATTGAACACGAGTGGCACTACTGTTGTAACTCCCTCTTAACTAATGATGAACACGGATAACTGCGTAACACCACGGTCTCCATTGCCACACCAGGACCAAACCCTAATAAAACTCCCCACTCTAACCCTTCACCGGTTGTTCTCATCCCTTTTTTCTTGGACCTCTTCCTCACCTCATCCAAGATAAAAATCACAGTGGGACTCCACATGTTCCCGTATTGCCTCAGCACTTCCCAACTCCCCCTCAGCTTCTCCTTCTCCAATCCAAGCTTCTCTTCAATCATACTCACAATTAGTGGCCCACCAGGGTGAATTGCGTAAAACAAGTTATTCCAATCAATAACATCGCCAATAACCGCACACAACTCATCAACCAAAAGCTTCTTCACATTGTTAGCTACAATATTCGGAATGTCCTTATCCAAAGAGTAAACCAGACTCAACTCTCGTTGGTTTCCTCTGATCGCGTTCTCAGTGTTAGGTACAGTGGTTTGCGAAGCCAACACGAGGTCGAAAAGTGGATGCTCAACGGAGGGTTTAGGATCCGCACCAATGATCACAGCGGCACTACCATCGCCGAACAGAGCCTGTCCTATGAGGGCATCAACGTTGGAATCACAAGGAGCACGAAACGCAGAGAGCATGGTTTCAGCACACACAGCCAGAACGCGTGAGGCGGGATTGTTCTCGGCTATGTCTTTGGCGACGCGGAGAATGGTGCCGCCAGCGTGACAGCCGTGGCTAAAGAGCATGAGGCGGTTGACGGTTGAGTTGAGTTGGAGGAGCTTGCAGAGGTGGTGGTCGGGGCCGGGAACGGTGCCGAAGCAGGAAGAGGTGTAGAAGATGAGATGTGTGATTTGTGAGGAGGGTTGACCCCATTCTTTTATGGCCCTGGACGCTGCTTCCTTGCCTAGTTTGATTACCTCCTCCGTGGGTAGCTTCTGTCGTGTCTCCAATGGAAGATCCTGGTACGTGCCCGTTTCTGAATTCTGCTTCAGAAATTCTTCGGTGTGGACGACATGTCGTTTCTCTATCTTTGTGTTCTCGCCTGTGCTTGTGTATACGCGTGCATGCATGCATACGCAAATATTACGGGTTAAAACGAAACATATATGATACAATAATGCTGAATTTCAAGTAAACACATACAATATTATTTATTTATTTTTAATAATTATATTTGAACAATTGCAGAACATAGAGGTTTGATACTCTTTTATTAATGTGGTGTAGACATGAGAATCATACATATGCGCTTGAACTTTTGCTTCAAGCAGTGCAAGTGATCTCTGTTGGTGACCCGGAAGTAGAAGTCAGGGTAGTCTTGCTGAAGGATGAAATTGGGTGGATTTGCTGTGCCAATGGCTAGGATTTTGGCCACACCTTTGTCTTCTTCAATTTCTTCTACTCTCCCCATTTCAGTATTCATGTTGAATTCAATATCTTTCTATTTCAAGATATTGATGGATGCATTCATACATTCAGGACAAAAGGATTCAAGTTTTTTATAGCCACTGCATTAAGCTACCTCCCTAACTAAACCCATCTCACCAAACCTACCCTGCCCTCAACACAATTAATTGCACATGCCATGCCCATTTGCTTATCCTCTTTCTTCAAATACACTTTTTAAAAATATATCTTAGTAGAAATAAAATCATTTCAAGAATAATCTTCTATATATTAAGTTGTATTGATCTAACCATTCAATATTTTGTAGTATATTGATTGTTGTTCACATTCACCAAATTTAAAATAAATGAAACATTTTAATTATTGTGTAATATTGAACTTGTTGTATACACTTATCTTGCTCCAAAACTTATGGCGCTGAGGCATGCTCTTGATATAATATGGGATAAATATTTTAAATTATTTTGACTAATTACAAGCTTTATAATTTATTATATAATAATTATTTAATTCATTTTAACCCTCTTTAATTGAGATAAACTAAAGAGAAGATAATTCAAAAACTAATATTTTTATTAAGATAAAGGTTTCACATAATGTTCTTTAGATCCACACGAAAGACCCTCATCTTTTATAAGTAAAAGTTCTATTAGACGTTAGTTATAGAAGGATATATTTGTTTTGTTTCCATTTTTTTCCCCTTTTTTTACTACGTCTAAAAAAGTAATAAATTAAATTTATTCAATAAAACATCACTTCGTTTTAAAGTTTTATAGAATTAATTTACTTAATAAGAGTTTTTAATTATGACGACTAAACTAGGAAAGTTTTTAAAATTCAAATAAATATAAAATTGATTTAATAATAAAAGCTAAAAAAGAATCTTCTAAAAGAGTAAAAAAATTCAAATTAATAATGCGAAATTGCACTAGTATTTATTTTATTTCTAAAATCTCCAAATCCATCTTCAATACGGGATAAGTGATAAGATCTTCAATATAGACCATACCTTTGCCTAAAGATATTTATCTTTGGATATTGGAACTCGAAGAAAGAAAAAGATAAGAGATAAGCTATTAATATGGTTGGTAGATCAAGAGAGATAAATAAAAAAAAGAAATAATTGATTATATGATTAGAAATATGATAAAAAAAAAAAGAGAAGTGGTAGATGTGAAAGGATCACTTTATTTATTGTGTATTTAGGATTTTTTTGCTCTTAAGGTTTATCTTATCTATGAAGATAAGTAATTTAAAAAATATTAAAATCAGTAAAATATGTTTAAAAGCACAAATTTCACTTTATTTTTCCAACAAATTAAAGTCATATTTTATCCAGGATTGTAATCGCACATGCATGACTTATTGTATATAATTTTGAACTAAAAATCGTTTTTATAAATATAGTTTCTACAACTGTTAATTTGATCTAAAATAGTTATTGTATGTATGAATTTTGTATATATTATTTTGAAACTAAACTTTTCTACTCCCACATATATTATCTAAAATTGTGTTTTTATGCACGACTCAAAATATATTTTTTAATTAAAATTGTATTTAGAAACTTAAATTTTACATATTTGAGAGCACAAATTCTATAATAATATTTGTCCAAATAAAAGTATTATGGTTGTTACAGATAAGATAATATATTTCAGTAGAGTTTTATTTTTTTAGACCAAACAAAAGTCGTTATTGGGGTTTCAAAATTTTAAAAATATTTAATTATACTAAAATAAAGAACTAAGAAAACAACCAATTACGTGTCAATGTAGTGTGCTAAGCACATGAATACACCAATAATAATAAGAGTGAAAAATCCAAATATTTTTAAAACTAGACTAATTATTCATCAAATTTAAAGATTAAATTAAAATTTAATTAACGTTTAATTATATTTAATAAAATAATAATTTTATACTATAGTAAGTATATAATAATTTTAAAAATAATTTTTATAAAAATTTTATTACTTTTTATTATTATGATTTTATATAAATTATAATTATTATAAAATATAACAAATAATTTTACATGTGAGATAAAGAAAAAAACTGAAAATTATTATGTTTTTTATAAATTATATTGTATTTTTTTAATTTTTTTAAATAGTTTTATTCAAAATTCGTTCCATCTAAAATCTATTTGATTTTTCTTAATTTTATGGATTTTGTATCAGTTTTTTCATTTTTATGCCTGTTCAATTAAAATTAGTTATTCAAAAATAATAAATCAATTTTTAAATTAATTCTCGATCATACCTTTTAAATTGATCAATCCGATGAGATGTTAATCATTAAAAAAATAATATTAATCTAATAATCCTAATTAAAAACATAATCAAACTTAAATTAGAACAATATGAAGACAAAACACCATTTACTCTTATTAAAAAAAAATCCTAAAATTAGAAGAAAACTATGAAAAATTATATAGTTGAAGATAAAGAAATTGAAGGAAAATATTTTATAACAACAAAGCCCACCAATTAAATCATATTATTACTCTTTATCAAACTAAAATATAAGACTTTTCTTATAATGCAGCTTAAAGTTAAACTATATACAAACAAATGATGCGACATTTATTATATAAACAAAATTACTTAAGAATTTATTTTTCTTTGAATAAGAAAAATTGATAAAGAAAAATATTTAAAATATTAATATAAAATCAATTACAATACTTATAAAATTAAGCGAAATACTTTAAAATGTGATTGGATTATAATATGTATTGATTTCTTATATTCAAAGTACCTGTAAAAGTACTAATCAGTTTGGTTTCTAAATACAACAACTAATTTGAATCTCAAGTTTATTATTAATTCCATGTCCAATTCATTAAAATCTACGTTAAGTCTTTGTGTTGTGACCAGTGGATTCGGGGAGTTGAGAGATAGACAATGGAACGTCTGCTTAAAAAATTAATTAATTTTAGCAAATTTTTTTATAATAAATTGTTTATAAAAAATATTTATAAATTTTTTTATGAATAATTATTCATAAAAAATAATTTTAATTTTTTTTTAATTTTTTTTCACAGAAAACTGCTACAAAATTTTCTAAAAAAATTATTTGTAAAAATTTACTACAAAATTTCCTACAAATATATTAATTATATATATATAAGTGATAAAAAATTTTGTAAATAATATTTTTTATAATGTTTTATTTTAATTTATCATGATTAAATATTATTTAATTAAATTAAAAAATTTATTATTTTCAATAAAAAAAGGAAGAAAAATGCAACCAAACTTTCCTTGATCGCATCTTCCCTCACTCTTTCTTTCTCATCCCACACCCTCTCTTTTCTTTCAAATCTAGGATTTTTGTCAGCGATAATCACTAATTACAGTTTTCAACACTAATCTTCTAAGACTCTACATTTGCAATAATGAAAAGAGATATCCGTCACACAACATTATGCGACAGATATTTTACAAGTATTAAATTTTAAAAGTATTAACAGATATTTTACAAGTATTAAATTTCAAAAGTAGTAATATTTTAAAAGTATTTCTTTTTTTTCTATTATATTTAAGGTTATTTTTTTATATTTTACCATTTTTATTATATTATTTTCTTTCTCTTAATTTTCAATTTTTCACATTTCCTTAATATCTTCAATCAATTTTTTTTTCAATCTTTTCAACCAATTTGATGAACAGAAAATTAATTTTTGTCTTCTTCTTTGTCTTTTTCTAAATATTTAACATAAATTTTACCAATAACTAATATTATTTTATTTATAAATTATATTTATCAGGTTTTATTATGTCATATTTTTGGGATCTTATTATTCTTATTTGTCATATATCAAATTTTATCTTAATAAAATAATTTTATTTTAAAGGATTAAAAAGAATTGATAATTTAAACTTTTATTACTTTAAACTAATTAAATAAGAATTAACTTATTAAATATTTCTTTATAAACTATATATTCCATATTTTTAAATGATAACTTAAAAATGAATTAACTTATATATGTAATTAAATATTTGAATACAATATAATAATAATAATAATAATAATGTTATAAGTATTCAAATGTTTGAATATAATATTATAATAATAATAATAATAATATTATAAATATTCTATACCTAGTATAAAGAAAAAATAACTAAATATTTCTTTTACATACATATTTTAATATAAATATAATAAATTAAAATATATATTTAATTAATAATAATTACAAATTATAAAATTATAAATATTTATTTATGTATAAAAAATACATAAAATAGTAAACTTAATTTATTATAAATATAATTATTTTTTAAAAATAATATAGATCGGGGACGAGTGGGGGCGAGGAAACTCGAAACTCAACGGAGACGGGGATGTGAACTTAATTTCTAACACCGACAAGGATCGAGGGTGGGAACGGGGATGATTAAAAGAGTTTAAAACGGGAATCAGAGAGAAAAAACTCGCCTCGTTACCATGCCTACGCGGAGGCAACGACGGTAGATCGTTGTTGCAGGTAGACATGAAATAGGAAAGGAACATAAAGATATATGCGGAGATGAAGTCACATGCAAATAACGAAGACAAATAGTGGAGGCGAACGCAGAGACAGACGATAAAGGTGAAGGCGAACGCAGAGGGTACGTGAAGTTAGACGCGAAGGGGGACATGGAGGCAGATGTGAAGGGGATGCAGGGGCAGAGACAAGGGAAACAGACAAAGCGAGGAAAGGGAGATCTGAGAGAGGAAAATTGAAATGGAGAAAGAGAGGTGAGGGAGAGAAAGGAGATGGAGAACGAAAATAGAGTAAGGAAAGGTGCGGGAGGAGAAATAAGATTGAGAAAAATAGTCGTTACATGGATCCGTTACAAAAGAAAAAATAGTCATTCATCCAACTTTTACCGCTATAGTCATTGCCTTGCACTTTTTTTACATTATAAAATCTCCATCAATAGTAACAAAATTTCACATATCCTTCATTTCACCATTTTTCTTCTTCTCCAATTATAAATCCTAATAAATTTAATTACCAGTATTATTATAATTTATTGCAAAATCATTCATCTCTTATGGGTGAAAAATCTCAAAATTTCCAAAATTATATGTATCTACCACCATTTTTTATGTTTCCACTACCTCCAATGACATC